TGGGAGGCCATGGCGGGCAGATCATGAGTTTTGAGACTAGCCTGACCAACATGGAGAAACCCCATCTCTACAAAAAAGTACAAAATTAGCCAGGTGTAGTGGCGCATGCCTGTAATCCAAGCTACTCGGGAGGCTGGGTAACAGGGAGGGGCCTCCCCACTTCCCCCACCCACTCCCACCATGCTGTTGGCCACAATCAGCCTGACTGGGGCCACCTGGCCATCCAGGCAGGGACAGATCACTTGAACCCAGGAGGCAGAGGTTGCAATGAGCTGAGATCACGGCACTGCACTACAGCCTGGGCAAAAGAGTAAGACTCCATCTCGAATGAATGAATGAATCCAGCCAGCCAGCCAGCCAGCCTGGGCAACAAGTCCCCCATCACTTAAAAAAAAAAAAAAGAAAGTTGGCTGGGCACGGTGGCTCACACCTGTAATCCCAGCACTTTGGGAGGCCAAGGTGGGCAGATCACCTGAGGTCAGGAGTTTGAGACCAGCCTGACCAACATGGAGAAACCTCATCTCTACTAAAAATACAAAATTAGCTAGGCATGGTGGCACATGCCTGGAATCCCAGCTACTCAGGAAGCTGAGGGAGGAGAACTGCTTGAACCTGGGAGGCAGAGGTTGCAGTGAGCTGAGATCGTGCTATTGCACTCCAGCCTGGGCAACAAGGGTGAAACTCTGTCTTAAAAAAAAAAAAATGTCAGGAGAACAGGTGTGACCAGGTTGCTTTGCTGCCTTAGTCTTAGGAACTAGGAACAGGGAGCGGCGCTCCAGGCCGAGAGAACCGCATCTACAGAGTCCCCGAGGCAGGAACGTGTTGGTGGCTCAGTGTTGGGGGCCACAGGCCTGACACCCTTGCCTGATGAGTTTCAGGGATCCAGGAGTGTTTCAAGCCAGATGTGCTTGGGGTGTGGGAGGTTGGGGACAGGGAGTCACTTTAGGAGCAGGACAGCCTGCTCTGTTCCATACTGGCTGGCACTTTTGGTGGGGTGGCCTTGGACACCACAACCCTTTCCCCCCCAGGGAGGACATCACCTACCGGTTGCCGGAGCTGGACCCAAGGGGCTCGGATGAGGAGAACCTGGACTCAGAGACGTCAGCCAGCACCGAGAGCCTGCTGGAGGAGCGGGCCGGGCGGGGGGCCTCGGAAGGTCAGTATTAAGGTAGCGTCTGCTTTTCTCCTTCCCGTCCATCCCAGCAGGCCCCAGGGCAAGGGTCCTCTGGCTGCCAGCCCCAAAGCTGCAGTAACCCTGCCATCTGTCTCTCAAAAGGGCCCCCTGCGCCTGTTCTCCCTTGCCCCGGCGCGCCCGCCCCGAGCCCCCTCCCCACCGTGGCCGCCCCTCCACGTCGAAGGCCGTCGTCCTTCATAACAGTCAGAGTGAAGACCCCCCGGCGGACCCCCATCATGCCCACGGCCAACATCAAGCTCCCACCGGGCCTGCCCTCCCACCTGCCCATCTGGGCACCAGGTGCCCGGGAGGCGGCTGCCCCAGTGCGGCGCCGGGAGCCACCTGCCCGCCGCCCGGACCAGGTACACTCTGTGTACATCGCACCTGGGGCAGACCTGCCAGCACAGGGTGCCCTGGAGCCGCTGGACGAGGACAGCCAGCCACCTGGGGCCAAGCGGAGGTACTCGGACCCCCCAGTGTACTGCCTGCCCCCCGCCTCGGGCCAAGCCAATGGCTGAGGACCACAGCTGACAGTCTGCATGACCGAGGTGGGCCCCTGGGCCGGAGCTGAGCGCCAGAGCTGCAGAGCTAGTGTTTGGCTCTCAGAGAAGAATCCAGAAACAAAAGCTCAAGAGCAACGTGAGGTGGCCATTGGCCCCAAGTGCAGAGTCAAGGCAGGGAGAGGCCGGCTGGAGCCAGGTCCCCCAGATCGCCGACGTGCCCTTGGGAGCGCCCCATCTCCGCAGGTGGCCTCACAGCTGCCCACTCCCCTTGAGTATGTTTAACTGTTTCTTTGTATGTGGTATATGTAACTTTAAACTGTAACAGCCTTAATGGAAGACCAAATGGTTTTTTATATGTGTATGTACGAAGTTTTCTATTAACGCTGCCCATCTCCCTGGTAACCTGGAGGTGAGCTGTCAGAGCCGAGGCCACCGGGCCACTGCCCGTCTGAGGCTCAGACTCCCGCCATGGTTGGCTTGGAGTGGTCAGTGGGCTGGGACCCTCCATGAGAGTTTTGGACACTTGGGATACCTGATCTGCGCCTGTGTGACACGTGTCTCCAGGGGACAGCCATCTGGCCGATGTGCATTTGAGGACATGCTGGAACCTTCCATGGGGGTCTAGGCTATTGGTTGGAGCCAGGACATGAGACAGGGGCACCATGGACCTCATGTGCCAGGGAGACTTGAATGTGGCTGTCACTCTTCCGGACGCCAGGGGCTGGCTGCAGGAGGCTGCTCTTGGCACTACCCACACTGAGTGACAGAACAGGAGCCTGTGACTCAGGACTGCTCATGGGCCAGAAGGGCAAAGCCTGAAGTCAGACCCCCTTACAGGTCAACTGGGACAGCCTGGGGATCTCTGGAGCAGGGCCCTCCTCTCTCAGGCCTGGCCCATGCCCCCAGACACCTGAACACATGGACACAAATCTGGGACAAGGAACCCCCTGCACAGCGCGAGAAATAAAAAGTGCCTGAGAAGCGTGTGCGTGGGACACCTGCTCATGTGGGATCGGGGTTGGAAAAGCAGGGCCGGCGGGTGGGGGTCTGGCCTGCGGCCTCAGCCGAGAGGGGTACAGGATAGGGGTGGAACACTGTCCTCAGATCTGCCTTGACCCTCCGGCAAACAGGGAGCTCCCGGCAGGTGAGGAGCACCTGCTATCCTGGAAGCTGTCTTTGGCTTCCCTGTTTTAGTGCCCAGCTGAGATCTAAATGTCCGCTACAGCAGACACCTATCCGGCGGAGGGGCCAGTGCCTGGTGGGCCCAGCAGAACAGGGACAGATGGGCTCCCAGGCTGCCATCAGATGGGAGTCATGGGAACTGGCTGGCTGGTGTTGGCTTCGGGGAACATGAAGAACCCGAGTCCAGACCGCACATGCTGGAGGTTTCGGGGCTTGTCCAAGGCCACACAGCTGGGAGGGGCATGGCTAGGATTTAGACTGCCCTGTCAGCCTCTAGAGGCCCCTTCTGTGGACCCTGAGTTTGGTCTCCATAGTTTGTTGTCGTGGTTTTTGTTTGTTTTGAAGCATGGTCTTGCTCTGTCACCACGGCGTGCAGTGGCATGATCTCGGCTCACTGCAGCCTTCACCTCTTGGGTTCAAGCAGTTCTCCTGCCTCTGCCTCCAAACAAAGCTGGGGTTACAGGCATGCATCATACCCAGTTAATTTTTGTATGTTTAGGTAGAGACAGGGTTTACCATGTTAGCAAGGCTGGTCTCAAACTCCTGACCTCAAGTGATCCACCTACCTCAGCTTCCCAAAGTGCTGGGATTACAGGCATGAGCCACCACGCCCCACCCTCCATGGTATTTTTCTTTTCTTTTTTTTTCTGAGACAGTCTCACTCTGTTGCCCCAGCTGGAGTGCGGTGGCGTGATCTCAGCTCACTGCAACATCCGCCTCCCAGGTTCAAGTCATTCTCCTGCCTCAGCCTTCCAAGTAGCTGGAATTACAGGCTCCCAACATCACACCCAGCTAATTTCTGTATTTTAAGTAGAGACAGCGTTTCACCATGTTGGCCAAGCTGATCTCGAACTCCAGACCTCAGATAATCCACCCGCCTCAGCCTCCCTAAATTCTGGGGTTACAGGCGTTAGCCACCTTGCCGAGCCATCTATGGTATCTTCCAAGGACATCAGGCCCACTGGTGTGACAAGGTACAGATGACCTAAAGTGTGGGAAAAGATGAGGGCTGCATGCCAGGCCCTAGTCCCTGTGAAGCCCCCATCCTCACCCTGTCAGTCCAGAAGAGTGGCAGTGCAGGCGCAGGGATACTCAGCTTCCCAGTACTGAGGTGGGCTAGGAAGGAGTTCTCTCCATGGGGGTTTGGGCGTTAGGAGGGACCCAGCCCCACCTTGCTCAGTGTCAGGCAAAGTTGGCTCATGTCCTCCTTGAGGCAGGTACTGACACATTGTCCATTTCCCCCGGAGAAGAAACGGATCCAAAGAAGTTAAACTCGCCCAGGGCCAGGGATGGAGTCAGAGCTGGAGCTGCGACCTGGAAACTTGTAACAACAATACAGACGAGCCCCTCTGACGTGGAGGAAGCCTTGGATTCCTAAATCCCAAGCTAGAGCCCCTCCTACAAGAGAAATAGGGCCAGGAGCAGTACCTGGCACCTGTAATCCCAGCACTTTGGGAGGCCGAAGCAAGTGGATCACGAGGTCATGAGATTGAGACCATCCTGGCCAACATGGTGAAACCCCGTCTCTACTAAAAATGCAAAAATTAGCTGGGCGTGATGGCAGGCACCTGTAATCCCAGCTACTCGAGAGGCTGAGGGAGGAGAATAGCTTGAACCTGGGAAGCAGAGGTTGCAGTGAACCGAGATGGCGCCACTGCACTCCAGCCTGGCAACGAAGCGAGACTCCGTCTCAAAAAAAAAAGAAAAAACAGAAATTGGGAATGGCGCGTGGAGGCGAAACACCTCCGTCAGAGAATCTAGGCAGAAGTGGAGGTGGGGAAGGTACTTTCAGCAGGCATATCAGAACAAGAGGGCACATTGCACGTGTCCTCCGATTATTCTCGAAGGGTTAACACGTTCTCGAGGAAAAGAATGAGTAAGAAAGAGTGGGGTAGTGCCTCTCCTATTTTTTTAAAATAGAGGTAGGGTAGCGCTACGTTGCCCGGACTGGCCTCGAACTCTCGGTCTCAAGCGATCCGTTCTAACCTCCACCTCCCAAAATGCTGGGATTACAGCCCTGAGCCACCCTCTCCTGGCCCAGCGCCCCGCCTCAAAACAAGATACTACTTCCGCCCAAAAGAAACATGGGCTAACGAACGGGAGTAGGGGAAACACGTCCGCCCGGAAGACCAGGTGAAGGCATTTCCGCCCTCCGTTAACATGGAGCCGGCGGAAGGGGCGGGACACGGCCTGGCAATAATGGCGGCATCAAGGCTGGAGCTGAACCTGGTGCGGCTACTATCCCGCTGCGAGGCGATGGCAGCGGAGAAACGAGACCCGGACGAGTGGCGCCTGGAGAAGGTGAGGGGATCTCGCACTGCCGCATAGAGTCCGACTCACGCAGGGCTGGTTCCTAGAGTTGGAAGCCATCCGGCCCAACTCCCCAGCCCCAAGAGGCTCTCTGGCCGCGCCCTTTCCGGTCAGTCCTGCCACGTCTACCTGTAGCTTCCGCCCCTGTCCCTGGGACTCCGCCCCTCCCCCCAGTGGCCCTGACTCCTTTACTCTTGACCCCTCCCCATATGTCGGCCCCGCCTCGGTTCTGGCCCCGCCCCGCTCTGACTCCAATGAGCAGGACATGGGAAAGACCCCCGGGTGAGAATCCACTTTTCCTCCCCAGTACGTGGGAGCCCTGGAGGACATGCTGCAGGCTCTGAAGGTCCACGCGAGGTGAGTGCAGGCAGCCTCAGGGCTTTCATATCAGCATGTGTCTGTTCTGTTGAGACATCCCAGGACCGCAGTCCCAGCTGGGACCCTTCCCTTAGCTGGGGACCGTGGACAGGTGTTTTTCTTCTTCCTGGCTCCTAGCAAACCGGCCTCTGAAGTGATCAATGAATATTCCTGGAAGGTGGATTTTCTGAAGGGGATGCTGCAGGCCGAGAAGCTGGTGAGCAGGGGTGTCCCTGCCTGCTCAGACCGCACCACTGCTCACTTGGTCCCCAGGACCTGCCCCTCCAGTGACATCTCTTCCCACATTTGTGCAGACCACCTCCTCAGAGAAAGCACTGGCCAACCAATTCCTGGCCCCTGGCCGTGTGCCAACCACAGCCAGAGAGCGAGTGCCCGCCACGAAGACAGTGCATCTGCAGTCACGGGCACGGTACACCAGCGAGATGCGGAGTGAGCTACTAGGCACGGTAGGGCTCCTTCTCTGGTCCCTGGGAAACCCTTGGCTTGCAGGCAGCCAGACCCACAATACCGTCAGATACCGGGACCCACGGGGGTCCTGCAATCTCTTCCCTGGGCCATCACACAAGGCTGCCTGACAAGGGTACTGTGGCTAGGGCTTTGCAAGATGAATAGGAATTTGGTACAAGGCAAAAATGGAATGTGTCTGGTTAAGCCCCAGAGTTGGCCCAAGAGCGGGGTTTGGCTCCTAGCTTGCAACTTACAAGACAGGTAAGTTTCTTCGCTGTTAAAGAGGATGATATGTTCCTTTCTGAGCACTTTATGTGGATCAGCTCAACCTTTCAAAATATGAGCTGTTGTTGTTAGCAGTTTGTAGTTGAGGAAACTGAGGCTCAGAGGTCATGGGATTTCCCCAGGTCCCTAACTGAAGGTGAGGAGGTTAAGATCAGAAGGCACAGGTTCAGGAATGAGACAAACAGGGTGACTTCAGGGGGTGACTTCATGTCACTTACCTTTTTTGTTTTTTTGAGTTGGAGATTCCCTCTTGTCGCTCAGGCTGGAGTCCAGTGACATGATCTCAGCTCACTGCAGCCTCCACCTTCCAGGTTCAAGTGATTCTCCTGCCTCAACCTCCCGAGTTGCTGGGACTACAGGCACCCACCACCACACCTGGCTAATTTTTTGTCTTTTTAGTGGAGACGGGTTTCATCTTTTTGGCCAGGCTGGTCTTGAACTCCTGACCACTGGTGATCTGCCCAGCTCGGTCTCCCAAAGTGCTGGGATGAGAGGCATGAGCCACTGTGCCCGGCCTCATGCCACATAATTCTTTCCACAGGACTCTGCAGGTGAGTCACCATGGACACAACAGGACTTGAGGGCCAGCTGCCAGGACAAGACATGTATCCTTGCTGCCCTGTGGCCTCCATGCCCAGCCTGATGCGAACAGGGTCTTCCCCAGCCAGGGAGAATGTCACCAAGGGAGCATCACCAAATTACACCTGGATGAAGAGCCAGGACAGAGGAAGTGGCCCCCAGAGGAAACAAAGCTAGGCACTCCTGGTGGGCACAGTGGCTCATGACTGTAATCCCAGCACTTTGGGGTGCTGACGGAGGCACATCACCCAAGGTCAGGAGTTCGAGACCAGCCAGGCCAACATGATGAAACCCCATCTCTATTAAAAACACAAAAAATGATCCGGGCATAGTGGAGTATGCCTGTAGTCCCAGCTACTCTGGAGGCTGAGGCAGGAGGATTGCTTGAACCTAGGATGGGGAGGTTGCAGTGAGCTGAGATCACACCACTGTAGTCCAGCCTGGGTGACAGAGCAAGACTCCGTCTGAAAAAAAAAGTGGTGGCCAGGTTCCATGGCTCATACTTGTAATCCCAGCACTTTGGGAGGCTGAGGTGGGTGGATCACCTGAAGTCAGGAGCTTGAGACCAGTCTGGCTAACACGGTGAAATCCCATCTCTACTAAAAGTACAAAAAATTAGCCAGATGTGGTGGCAGGTACCTGTAGTCCCAGCTATTTGGGAGGCTGAGGCCAGAGAATTGCTTGAACCCAGGAGGTGGAGGTTGCAGTGAACCGAGATCATGCCTGGGCGACACAGCGAGACTCTGTCTCAAAAAAGCAAAAAAATTAGCTAGTCGTGGTGACGTACTCCTGTAGTCCCAGCTACTTGGGAGGCTAAGGCAGGAAGATTGCTTGAGCCTGGGAGGTGGAGGTTGCAGTGAGTTGAGATCATGCCATTGCACTCCAGCCTGGGTGACAGAGAAACTGGTGTCTCCAAAATAAGCAAATAAATAAATATTTTAAAGCTAAGTACTCCTAGTCTATGGGGCCAAGCCTAGGTTGGAGGCAGGGAGCTGGCATCTGAGGGAACCGAGACAGGAGTAAGGAGACCCTCGTAGAAGAGGGGCATTCAGGCATGGTCAGAAGTCAGAATACGACTGGGCAGCAGATGAGATGAGGAAACAGCGTTCCAAGCAATAGACCCAGCACAGGCAGTGGGCAGGATGCTGGAAACGGGAAACCAACGCTCGCCTTTTTGCTTGGCCTGTTTTGCTTTCAGAGCCTGAGATGGACCTGAGGAAGAGAACGTGAGTGTCTGCAGCCCTGGGGCAGTAGAGGGAATTGGGGTGGTGCAGCGGGGAGGGGCTGGCACAGGCCACACCCTGGCTTACTGAGGCACCACCCCAGGGATCTAAACCAACCACCAGCCACTTCTGTGGGTGCTCTTCCCAGAAGTCAAAGCAGGCCAGGCTCAGTGGCCCATGCCTATAATCCCAACACTCTGGGAGGCTGAGGCACGTGGATCACCTGAGGCCAGGAGTTCAAGACCAGCCTGGCCAAAATGGCAAAACCTCATCTCCACTAAAAGTACAAAAATTAGGCAGGCATGGTGGCGCATGCCTGTGATCCCAGCTACTCAGGAGGCTGAGGCAGGAGAATCACTTGAACTTGGGTGTTGGAAGTTGCAGTGAGCCGAGAGTGCGCCTCTGCACTCCAGCCTGGTGACAGAGCGAGACTCCGTCTCAAAAAAAAAACAAAAAGCCAGGCACGATGGCTCACGCCTATAATCCCACCACTTTGGGAGGCCAAAGTGGTCAGATCACGAGGTGAGGAGATAGAGACCATCCTGGCTAACACGGTGAAACTCCCTCTCTACTAAAAATACAGAAAATTAGCTAGGTGTGGTGGCACGTGCCTGTAGTACCAGCTGCTCCAGGAGGCTGAGGCAGGACAATCTCTTGAACCTGGGAGGCAGAGGTTGCTGTGAGCTGAGTTCACGCCACTATACTCCAGCCTGGGTGACACAGCAAGACTCATCTCAAAAAGAAGTGGGGGGGCCAGGCGTGATGGCTCACACCTGTAATCCCAGCACTTTGGGAAGCTGAGGTGGGTGGATCACCTGGAGTCAGGAGCTCGAGACCAGTCTGGCCATGGTCAAACCCCATATGTACTAAAAACACAAATTTAGCCCGGCGTGGTGGTACGCACCTGTAATCCTAGTTACTTGGGAGGCTAAGGCAGGAAAATCACTTGAACCTGAGAGGCGGAGGTTATAGTGAGCCAAGATCATGCCATCGCACTCCAGCCTGGGTGACAAGAGCAAGACTCTGTCTCAAAAAAAGAAAAGTCAGAGCTGGGCGCAGTGGCTCACGCCTGTAATCCCAGCACTTTGGGAAGCCGAGGTGGATGGATCACGAGGTCAAGAGATCGAGACCATCCTGGCCAACATGGTGAAACCCCGTCTCTAAAGAAAAAGAAAAGAAAAGTCAAAGCAGTGGAGGGGAAACAGTCTCTACCAGGGCTGTGGCTGGAACCATGACCTTTGGGTCCCTTAAAAATGTTTTGGTCTTCTCCCCTCCCCCACTCCATCTCTTCCCCCCATGTGTGGGATCAGTGGCGTGGCAGGGTCCCAGCCAGTGAGTGAGAAGCAGTCGGCAGCTGAGCTAGACCTCGTCCTGCAGCGACATCAGAACCTCCAGGAAAAGCTGGCAGAAGAGATGCTAGGACTGGCCCGGAGCCTCAAGACCAATACGCTGGCTGCCCAGAGTGTCATCAAGAAGGACAACCAGGTTTGGGGACTGGGGGAGTTCTCCAGCCTCTGCCCTGGGGCATCAGAGAAGGCTTCCCAGCATAGGAGGATGGTGGCTTGGGCTTTGAGGGATGAATAGGAGTTTTGTACATGGCAAAAATGGCATTCCCAGAAGAGGGCACAGCATCAGCAAGTGACAAGAGGGCAGGCCTGCTCTAGGGAAGTAGAGATTGGCCATACTTGGCCCTAGTCCTGTTGACCCCCTTTTCACCTCACCCACAGACCCTATCACACTCACTGAAAATGGCAGACCAGAACCTGGAGAAGCTGAAGACGGAGTCAGAGCGGCTGGAGCAGCACACGCAGAAGTCAGTCAACTGGCTGCTGTGGGCCATGCTCATTATCGTCTGCTTCATCTTCATTAGCATGATCCTCTTCATTCGAATCATGCCCAAACTCAAATAAAGACCCCACCCACCTTGTCTGTCTTCTGTCTGTCCCCTGCACCCCATCCTGCAGTGCTTTTTGGGCAGTGAGATTTGAGGGTCTCTGGAGGTCCCTGGAGAGCCACAGACAGTGCATGAGCAGGGGAAGAATGTCAGGGCCAGGTGTGGTGGCTCATGCCTGGGATCCTAGCAATCCTAGGCAGGTGGGTCATTTGAGGCCAGGAGTTGGAGACCAGCCTGGCCAATATGGCAGAACCCCGTCTCTGCCAAAAAATACAAAAATTAGCTGGGTATGGTGGCACATGCCTGTAATCCCAGCTACTCAGGAGGCTTAGGCACTAGAATCGCTTGAACCCAGGAGGCAGAAGTTGAAGTGAACCAAGATCGTGCTGCTGCACTCCAGCATAGGTGACAGCAAGATTCCGTCTCAAAAAAGAAAAAGTAGATCATAAGAAAGAGACTTAGGCAGACTTGGTGACGCCCACCTGTAATCCCAACTACCGGGGAAGCTGAGGCAGGAGGACCCCTGGAGCCCAGGGATTGGAGGCTACAGTGAGCAGTGATCATGCCAGTGCACTCCAGCCTGGGTGACAGAGTGAGACACCCTACTCAAAAGAAATGAAGTTTATGCCTGAGACAGAAAGATGATTCCTTATGACTCCTTAGGAAGCTACATTGCCTGGGTCGCTGTGGCTCACACCTTGTAATGCTAGCACTGGGAGGCTGAGGCGGGAGGATAACGAGCTAAGGAGTTTGAGACCAGCCTGGGAAACATGATAAAATGCCATCTCTACAAAAAATACAAAACTTAGTGGGCGTGGCGGGGTAGACTTGCCGACCCAGCTGCTTGGGATGCTGAGGCAGAGGACTCATTTGAACCTGGGAGGCGGAGGTTGTGGTGAGCTGAAATCACACCATTGCACTCCAACCTGGGCGACAGGAAGGAAACTGTCTCAAAAAATAAAAGCAAAGAAAAGAAAACTAAATCACATGCTGAAATGACACATTGTACTGTTTAGCGTCCATTACTCAAAGTCTCCTAATTGAAAAAGAAAGAAATTAGGTTATTTTCCTCACTTAAAAATCTCAAGCTGGCTAGGCGCAGTGGCTCAAGCCTGTAATTCCAGCACTTTGGGAGGCTGAGATGGCTAACAGTGAAACCCTGTCTCTTAAAAAAAAAGAAAAAAATCTCAAGCCAAAGGCAGCATCGACTTTAATTGGCAAATACTTAAAATGTCTACCATCACAATGAACAGGTCCAGCGTGGCTCATGCCACCTGTAATCCCAGCACTTTGGGGGCCAAGGCAGGCAGATCACTTGAGGTCAGGAGTTTGAGATCAGCCTGGCCAATATGAAACCCTGTCTCTACTAAAAAATACAAAAATTAGGCCGGGCATGGTGGCTCATGCCTGTAATCCCAGCACTTTGGGAGGCCGAGGCAGGTGGATCACGAGGTCAAGAGATCGAGACCATCCTGGTCAACATGGTGAAACCCCGTCTCTATAAAAATACAAAAAATTAGCTGGGCATGGTGCCGGATGCCTGTAATCCCAGCTACTCAGGAGGCTGAGGCAGGAGAATTGCCTGAACCCAGGAGGCGGAGGTTGCAGTGAGCTGAGATTGCGCCATTGCACTCCAGCCTGGGTAACGAGCGAAACGCCGTCTCAAAAAAAAAAAAAAAAAATTAGTCAGGTATGGTGGCGCATGCCTGTAATCCCAGCTACTTGGAAGACTGAGGCAGGAGAATCGCTTGAACCTGGGAGGCAGAGGTTGGAGTGAGCCACGATCATACCACTGCACTCCAGCCTCGGCAACAGAGCTAGACTCTGTCTCAAAAAAAAAATAATAATAATTCAGGTGTGGTGGTGCGCACCTATAGTTCCAGTTATTCGGGAGGCTGAGGCAATGATCACTTAAGCCAGGAGTTCAAGGTTGCAGTGAGCTATGATGGTGCCACCGCACTCCAGCCTGGGCACAGGGTGAGACCCCATCTCTAAAACAAGAAGAAAGAAAGAAATTATATTTTTTAAAAATTACGGCCGGGCGCGGTGGCTCACGGCTGTAATCCCAGCACTTTGGGAGGCCGAGGCGAGTGGATCATGAGGTCAAGAGATCGAGACCATCCTGGTCAACATGGTGAAACCCCGTCTCTACTAAAAATCTAAAAATACAAAAAATTAGCTGGGCACGGTGGCGTGTGCCTGTAATTCCAGCTACTCAGGAGGCTGAGGCAGGAGAATTGCATGAACCCAGGAGGCAGAGGTTGCGGTAAGCCAAGATCTCGCCATTGCACTCCAGCCTGGGTAACAAGAGCGAAAACTCCGTCTCAAAAAAAAAAAAAAAAAAAGAGAGAGAGAGAATTCCATAAGCTAGCAAGAAACTTACAGATATTTAAAAATTCATTTCTTGTGTACTATATATGTATATAGCTGCAAAATGTTTTAAAGCGTCCCATTTATAGCAGCCATAAAAAAGGATACACTGCCTGGTTAAACTAATTTTCTTGACATTTGAAGAACTTTTTTTAGAGTCTTGCTCTGTCGCCCAGGCTGGAGTGATGAAGTGGTGCTATCATGCCTCACTGCAACCTCCATCTCCCGGGTTCAAGTGATTCTCCTGCCTCAGCCTCCCAAGTAGTTTGGATTACAGGTGTGTGCCACCACACCTGGCTAATTTTTGTATTTTTAGTAGAGACAGGGTTCATCATGTTGGCCAGGCTGGTCTCAAACTCCTGACCTCAAGCGATCCACTCGCCTCGGCTTCCCAAAGTGTTGGGATTACAAGTGTAAGGCCACCTAGTCCCGCTGAGATTTGAAGAACTTCTAAAAGTCAACAAGAGGTGGGCACAGGGGCTCATGACTGTAATCCCAGCACTTTGGGAGGCTGAGGTGGGCAGATCACCTGAGGTTGGGTTCAAGACCAGCGTGACCAACATGGAGAAACCCTGTCTCTACTAAAAAATACAAAATTAGCCAGAGGTGGTGGCGCATGTCTGTAATCCCAGCTACTCAAGGGCCAAGGCAGGAGAATTGCTTGAACCCAGGAGGCAGAGTTTGCAATGAGTCAAGATCGTGCCACTGCACTCCAGCCTGGGCAACAAGAGCAAAACTCCGTCTAAAAAAAAAATTGCCGAGCACGATTTCAGGATAATGCCACTAATCCCAGCACTGTGGGAGGCTGAGGTGGGTGGATCACTGGAACTCAGCAGTTTGAGACCAGCCTGGACAACATAGCAAGATCCCATCTCCACAAAAAATACAAAATTTAGGGGGACGTGGTGTCACCTGTGCTTCCAGCTACTTGGGAGGCTGAGGTGGAAGGATCAGTTGAGGCCAGGAAGAAGGTCGAGGTCACAGTGAGCAATGATCATGCCCTCCAGCCTGGGAAACACAGCCAGATCCTGTATCGAAAAAAAAAGGCCGATTTTGGGTGCACTGTCTGAGTTAGCCATGTACTGCAAGGAACAGTACTGTCAGTAAAAGACTACTGTCTAGCCCAGTGCTGTAGCTTATGCCTGTAATCCCAGCTTTTAGGGAGGCAGAGGCGGAAGGATAGCTTGAGTCCAGGAGTTCGAGACCTGCCTGGGCAACACATTCAGACCCCATTCTCCACAAAAAAAAAAAAAAAGTGCCGTCTAACACCACCTGCTCGCCCTTAATATAAATAAAAGAGGCAGGGTGCGGTGGCTCACGCCTATAATCCCAGCACTTTGGGAGGCCGAGGCGGGTGGATCACGAGGTCAAGAGATCGAGACCATCCTGGTCAACATGGTGAAACCCCGTCTCTACTAAAAATACAAAAATTAGCTGGGCATGGTGGCGCGCACCTGTAGTCCCAGCTACTCGGGAAGGTGAGGCAGGAGAACTGCTTGAACCCAGGAGGCGGAGGTTGCGGTGAGCCGAGATCGCGCCATTGTACTCCAGCCTGGGTAACAAGAGCGAAACTCCGTCTCGAAAAAATAAATAAATAAAAGAAAGGGGCCAGGCGCGGTGGCTCACACCTGTAATCCCAACACTTTGGTAGGCCAAGGCAGGCGGATCACTAGAGGTCGGGAGTTTGAGACCAGCCTGGCCAACAGACGAAACTCTGTCTCTACTAAAAATAAAAATAAAAAATAAAAATTTTAAAATAGCTGGGTTGGTGGTGGGCGCCTGTAGTTTCCTGTAGTCCCAGCTACTCGGGAGGCTGAGACAGGAGAATCTCTTGAACCTGGGAGGCAGAGACTGCAGTGAGCAAAGATCACGCCACTGCACTCCGGCCTGGGCAAGCGAGACTCTGTTAAAATTTTTAAAAAAATATAATTGCTGAAAAGACAAAGTTTAAATTTTCAAAACCATCCCGTTTTTTCAGACAAATAAACTTGAGGGGCAAGGTCGGAGTTGAACCTCTTTCGCAGTTGTGCAGCCCAGCCCCGCCAGGCCAGCCCCGCCCTCACGCCGTCAGGCCCAGCCCCCTCGCGTCAGACCCCGCCCCGCCGCCCTATGGAGCGACCCCGCCGGTCAGGTCCAGCCTGCAGTTAATGCACAAGCGGGACGCCAGTGCCTCTCCGACAACGGACCAAGGGTTGGAGCCCAAGACGCTGGGACAGGTGACCCGGGGCGGTAGCCGGGCGGCCTTGCAGGCGGGGCGGAGGTCCCGAGGAACTCCTCGGACGCGGTTGTCCGTGGGCTCTTCTTGCCCCCAGAGGGCGAGGCTCCGGCAGCGCAGGGGTTAACTCGAGCTGCTCGGCGACGTCAGGGCTCGTTTGCATACTGTTCTTCCGTATTACGCAGTCGGGGGCGGGGTCTGGAAGTAGCTACGGACCAATCGCATGCGTCCGTGCAAAAACCCTAGACGGGGTGAGAGTTGGCAGCTCCCGGACCCGCCTCCCCACGTCTCTTCTCTGTGCGCGCCACCAGGCGTGTCCTTTCCACGTGTCCACCCGCAGGCCGCCCGCAGACCACCCCCGCCGCGCGCGGGCGACGACGCCCCCCGCAGGACCCGCCCATCATCCCGGAAACCCCTGAGCTGCGTCTTCCAGAGACCGATGCCCACCCGGGAGCCCCCCAAGACTCGCGGCTCCCGGGGGCACCTGCTGCAGACCCACCCGCCTGGGCCAGGGCCCCCGGTGAGCCTGACCAGGACGGGGTCCTTAGGCCAGGTCTGTAGGCAAAAGATTTAGTCCCCCCAGTTTGAGGGACTCCGGTTTTCCGACACCCCGATTCAACTCCAAACCACGACTCCTGTGGCAGCTTCAGGGATTGACGCCTCGAGGCCTCAAAACCAGCGCCCCCCGCCCTCCGTGCCAGCCCCAGCCTGGACCCCACAAGGCAAGGCGGAAGACGATTGTGTTTGAGGATGAGCTGCTCTCCCAGGCCCTCCTGGGTGCCAAGAAGCCTATTGGAGCCATCCCTAAGGGGCATACGCCTAGGCCCCACCCAGTGCCCGACTATGAGCTGTGAGTGTCCCTCAGGTGATTCTTCATGCCTGGGATCAGGAGGGGGCACCAAGACTGGGGCTTTGACAGTTGAATAAGAGTTTACCAAAGAGTAGCTGGACACAGTGGCTCAAGCCTGTAATCCCAGCACTTTGGGAGGCTGAGGTGGGTGATTAATCACCTGAGGTAGGGAGGTTGAGACCAGCCCTACCAACATGGAGAAACCCCATCCCTACTAAAATTACAAAACTAGGTGGACATGGGGACACAGGCCTGTAATGGCTGAGGTAAGGAGAATCGCTTGAACCCAGGAGGTGGAGGTTTTGGGTGAGCCAAGATCTCGCCATTGCACTCCAGACTGGGCAACAAGAGCAAAACTCTGTATCAAAAAAAAATGAAAGTTTAGCAAAGAGTAAAAAGAGAAAAGAATCTCCTGCTGATCAGTAGTGGGACTGCCCCTGTGAGTAAGCGGTTGCACTACAGCTTAGGCAACACAGCAAGATCCAGTCTCTGTAAATTAATTAATGTTAATTAATTAATTATTTTTTTTTTTTTTTGAGAGCGAGTCTCCTCTGTCACCAGGTGCCAGGCTGGAGTGCAGTGGCGCAATCTTGGCTCACTGCAACCTCCGCCTCCCAGGTTCAAGCAATTCTCCTGCCTCAGCCTCCGTAGTAGCTGGGACTACAGGCACGTGCCACCATGCCCAGCTAATTTTTATATTTTTTTAGTAGAGACGGGGTTTCACTACGTTGGCCAGGATGGTCTCAATCTCTTGACCTCGTGATTTGCCTGCCTCGGCCTCCCAAAGTGCTGGGATCACAGGCGTGAGCCACCGCGCCCAGCCTATTAATTAAAAATTTTAAAAAATATGGCCAGGGGCAGTGACTCACACCTGTAATCCCAGCACTTTGGGTGGCCGAGGCAGGTGGATCACGAGGTCAAGAGTTGGAAACCAGCCTGACCAACATGGTGAAAACCTGCCTGTACTAAAAATATAAAAATTAGCTGGGTGCAGTGGTGGGTGCCTGTAATCCCAACTACTCAGGAGGCTGAGGCAGGAGAATCACTTGAACCTGGGACATGGAAGTTGCAGTGAGCCGAGATCGTGCCACTGCACTGCAGCCTTGGCGACAGCAAGATTCCATCTCAAAATATAAAAATAAATAAATAAGCCTGGTTCAGTGGCTCACCCCTGTAATGCCAGCACTCTTTGGGAGGCCGAGGCGGGTGGATCACCTGAGGCCAGGAGTTCGAAACCAGCCTGTCCAACATGGTGAAACCCCATCTCTACTAAAAATGCAAAAAAGTAGCCGGGTGTGGTGGTGCGTGCCTGTAATCCCAGCTACTTTAGGATTTTTGAGACTCCATTTCAAAAAAATAATAATAAAAAGAGGGAAAGAAAAGGGACATTTTTAATAGGGGACTCAGCATGGACAAAGAAAAGCCAATTACACTGACTGGGGAGAGGGTGGGGTTCGTTACACTCACACTCTGACCCCCTTCAACCTGCTAGTAAGTACCCACCGGTGAGCAGTGCGAGGGAACGGAGCCGATATGCCGCAGTGTTCCAGGACCTGTACGGAGAGTACTTGGAGCTCCAGCGGGAGGTGGGGTGCGCACAGGCAAAGCTCAGGCAGCTGGAGGCCCGGCTGAGCTCCCTGCCCCCACCCCAAAGCCAGGTCAGCGCTGGGGAGAAAGCCCTGCCCCGCAGCCCTTACGAGTGGCCCGACCTAAGCTTCTGGGATACCCACTGGGTCCAGATCTCCAGGACTTTTTCTCCTCTAGGCTGGCTGGGTGCCATGATGCATGGCTAAGGTCAGCCCTTGAAGTCCCCACTAGATGGGCATTTAGTCTGTCCGAGCCTCAGTTTCCCTATCCCTCCTTGAGTTCAACTCTCCCTAAACCCCCTCTCTCCTCCTCTTGCAGAAGGAGGCCCAAGTTGCAGTCCGAGTTTGGAGGGAGTTTGAGAAGAAACAAACGGTGAGTCTTGCATCCCCTGACGCTCCCATGAGGCCCGGTTTTGTTTTTGCTTTTTTTTTTTCGAGACAGTCTCGCTCTGTCGCCCAGGCTGGAGTGCAGTGGCATGATCTCTGCTCACTGCAACCTTCACCTCCTGGGTTCAAGCGATTCTCCTGCCTCAGCCTCCCGAGTAGCTGGGACTACGGTGCAAACCACCACGCCAGCTAATTTTTGTATTTAGTAGAGGCTGGGTTTCATCATGTTGGCCAGGATGGTCTTGATCTCCTGACCTCATGATCCACCTGCGTTGGCCTCTCAAAGTGCTGGGATTACAGACATGAACCACTGAGCCTGGCCAGTTTTTCTTTTTTTTTTTTTGAGACAGTCTCGCTCTGTAGCCCAGGCTGGAGTTCAGTGGCATGATCTCAGCTCACTGCAACCTTTGCCTCCCAGGTTCAAGCGATTCTCCTGCCTCAGCCTCCTGAGTAGCTGGGCTCACAGTCACCCACCACTACACCTAATTTTTGTATTTTTAGTAGAGACGGGTTTCACCATGTTGGCCAGGCTGGTCTCAAACTCCTGACCTCAAGTGATCCACCCACCTTGGCCTCCCAGACTGCTGGGATTACAGGCGAGAGCCACCTCACTTGGCTTGCCTGGCTGCCTGTGCCCAGTTTTAAGGAGAAACACTGAGGTTCTGAGAATGAAAGGCAGAGGCTTGAGCAGCTGGAGGGCTGCGGGGCAGACTGCCGCAAGGACTTCGGGTTCTCACCCTGCCTAGGATCCTGGCTTCCTGGACAAGCAGGCTCGCTGCCACTACCTGAAGGGTAAACTGAGGCATCTCAAGACCCAGATCCAGAAGTTCGATGACCGAAGAGACAGTGAGGGCTCTGTGTACTTCTGAGTGCCCCTGCAGACAGGCAGAGGGACACGTGGGAATGCAGGTTCCTGGCTTTACTTGGTATCTCTCAGCCTTTCCTCTTGCAGTTCCCCCTACCAGGGGTAGCTTTCTCAGCAACTGCAAATGCCTCTTCATTTTGGACTCAGCTTTGACAGCCCCTCCTCCAGGCAGGCCTCCCAGGACTTCCTTCTCTAGGACCTCTAGCTCTGACCCTACAGGGACTCCAGATCTCAACCTGTTCCCTGGAAGTAGGTCCTGCTCTCCATTTCAGTGAAATAAACATGTATTAGACACCTACTGAGTGTAGTTGCTTAACACTTCTGATTGCACTCATTTGTGACACACACAAGTTGTTTATTTATTTATTCATTCTGAGATGGAGTTTCGCTCTTGTTGCCCAGGCTAGAGTGCAATGGTGCGATCTCGGCTCACCAAAACCTCCACCTCCCAGGTTCAAGCAATTCTCCTGCCTCAGCCTCCCAAGTAGCTTGGATTACAGGTATGCGCCACCATGCCTGGCTAATTTTGTATTTTAATAGACATGGGGTTTCTACCTGTTGGTCAGGCTGGTCTCCTGACGTTGTGATCCGCCCGCCTCAGCCTCTCAAAGTGCTGGGATTACAAGCATGAGCCACCACACCCAGCTGTTTTTTTTTTTGTTTGAGACCCTGTCTCACTCTGTCACCCAGGCTGCAATGTGGTGGTGTGACCATGGCTCGCTGCAGCCTCCACCTCTCAGACTCAAGCAGTCTTCCCACTTCAGCCTGCTGAGTAGCTGGGACCACAGACATGTACCATGACACCCAGTTTATTTTTTTTGTAGAGATGGGGTCTCTCTCTGGTCTCAAACTCCTGGGCTCAAGCGATCCTCCTGCCTTGGCCTCCCCAAGTACTGGGATCACAGACATGAGCCATTGTGCCCAGCCAGATTCCTCCATTCTCCATGTCTCCCTGGCACTTCAGGCACAAAAGGGGGAAGTCTGAGTTCATAGAACGTAAAACACCCAAGGGTTTCAGGTGCATTACAGGTGCACACCACCACACCGTCAGGTATGGCTTGATCCACGGGCTCCAAAAGCATCTTGGGAAACTGATCTTCCATCCTTGGCTCTGCTTTAATTAGATCCTCCCAGTTCCAAATCCTGCTGTAGAATCTCACTGGCTGGTTTGGAATCCCAAGCCCATCATAAACCAATCACTGCGGCCCAGGGAATGGTGGGCTCTGATTAGCTGGGATGAGATCATGTGACAGGACTGGCCCCCAGAGGTTTCTCCCAAGGACATCAGAGTGCAAACCATGAGCCGGGGCAGTGGTTCATGCCTATAATCACACTTTGGGAGGCCGAGGCAGATGGATCACCTGTCAGAGGAGTTCGAGACTACCCTGGCCAACATGGCAAAACCCCATCTCTACTGAAAGTACAAAAATCAGCTGGGCGTGGTGGTGTGCACCTGTAATGCCAACTACTCAGGAGGCCGAGGCAGGAGATTCGCTTGAACCCAGGAGGTAAAGGGTGCAGTGAGCCAAGACTGCACCACTGCATTCCAGCTCAGGTGAAAGAGCAAAACTCCATCTCAAAAAAAAAAGATTAAGTACTGACTGAAGAAACTAACCGAGGCCGGGCAAGGTGGCGCCCGCCTGTAATCCCTGCACCTTCGGAGGCTGAGTGCGGACAGATCACCTGAGGTTAGGAGTTCAAGACCAACGTGATCAACGTGGTGAAACCCCATCTCTACCAAAAATGCAAAAAAACTAGCTGGGCGTGCGAGTTGGGTGCTTGTAGTTTCAGCTGCTGGGGAGGCTGAGGCAGGAGAATTGCTTGAACCTGTGGGGCGAAGGTTGCAGTAAGCCGAAACCGCACCACCGCACTCCAGCCTGGGTGATGGAGTAGGACTGTCTCAAAAAGAAAAAAAAAAGATCGGGGAGGCCGGGCAGGTAGGAAATGTCTTTATTCTTGGCTTTGATTGAGCATCATGTAGTGTCTGATGTAGATTACGCGTCCAGAGGATCTGGCCTGGTACACGCTAGCTACCCCTGCCCACTGGAGTGGCCCCTCCAGTCCAGACGCCAGGCCTTTGTCCATCACACCAGGGAAGCTGCCCCCACCATCCCATAAGTTCATGCTCCATCCAGGCCAGGGGTCCTGGGAGGACGAGGCTGAGACCTGGATCACCAGTCTCTTTTTGGTTTCATGATCATTTAAAAAACAGATAAGACAAACATTTCACAGTCTTTACAAAATAGAAGTCTGAGGAGAGAAGCCAGGGTCCTGGGCCCCGGGAGGCCCCTCGAGGCCTCAGCGTTCCCTGTCCCTTGAGGTCTGTCTGCAGGCCTGGCCACGGCGCACGTGGCCCCGTTGTGGTCACTGGCCCGAGCCATAGGGCCAGTTGAAGGTACTCCCCGACAGCAGCATGTCTCTGATCAGCGTCTCGATGGGCGTCTTCCCCACCAGGCGCATGAAGAACAGCTGGGAGATGAGGGAGGCAGGGACCGCGCGCAGGGCAGGGAGCCGCAGCAGCAGGCGCCCGAAGCGCTGGGGTTGGGACGGGTACTGCGCCCGCACGTACTCGGTGAGGGCCACCTGTGCCTTCTCCTGCAGACTCTCCACGTGAGCCGGGTCCGAGAGGCCACAGGCGTCTGGGGGAACAAAGGGAAGTCAGATGGGGTGGGAGGCAGCAGGAGAACAGAGGGCCCACAGGGGAGACTAGGGGACACCAATTGCGACTATGGGTAAGAACGGGCGGGGGGGCCGGGCGTGATGGCTCACACCCACAGTCCAAGCACTTTGGGAAGCCAAGGCAGGAGCATCATCTAAAGCCAGGATTTGAGACCAGCCCAGGCAACATAGTGAGACCCTTTCTCTACAAAAACAAATTAGCTGGGGCCAGACACAGTAACTCATGCCTATAATCCCAGCACTTTAAGAGGCTTGAGGCAGGTGGATCACTTGAGTTTAGAAGTTCAAGATCAGCCTGGCCAACACGATGAAACTCCATCTCTACTAAAAATCAGAGTAGCCAGGTTTGGTGGTGCACACCTGTAGTCCCAGCTACTCGGGAGGCTGATGGGAGGATCGCTTGAGCCTGGGAGGCAGAGGCTGCAGTGAGCTGGGATCATACCACTGCCCTCCAGCCTGGGCAACAGAGGGAGACCCTGTCTCAAAATAAATATACAAATAAAAAATAGCCAGGTACCTCATGCCTGTAATCCCAGCATGTTGGAAGCCTGAGGCCGGCAGATTGCCTGAGGTTGGGAGTTCGAGACCAGCCTGGCCAGCATGGTGAAACTCCATCTCTACTAAAAAAAATACAAAACTTAGCCAGGCGTGGTGGCAGGCGCCTGTAATCCCAGCTACTCGGGAAGCTGAGGCAGGAGAATCGCTTGAACCTGGAAGTTGGAGGTTGCAGTGAGCCACGATAGAACCATTGCACTCCAGCCTGGGCAACAGCGACACTCCATCTCAAAAATAATAATTAAAAATAAATACATAAAAATTAGCTCAGTATGATGGGATATGCCTGTAGCCCCAACTACTCAGGGAGGAGGCTGAGGCAGGAGGATCTCTTTGAGGCCAGGAGTTTGAGGCTACAGTGGTCTGTGATCATACCTGGGCAAGAGTAATAAGACCCTGTCTCAAAAAAAAAAAAAAAAGACTTCAGACCTAACAAACCCTGCGGTGGGCGGGGCGGCGGGGGAGGAGACAGGAAGAGGGTGATGGTACCTCAAGATGCAAATGGGAGAATCTAAGGCAGTGCCGATCCTCCAGAGATAGTGAGGCAGTCTCATCTACCCAGTGGCACAGGGGTGCAGGCAGTGATCTTTCAAGGGCGGCTGGCGCCCAGCTGATGCCTTTGGCAGGGAGATAGGTTCTAATTTTTTTTTTTAAGATGGAGTCTCACTCTGTCTCCCAGGCTGAAGTGCAGTGGCACAATCTCAGCTCACTGCACTCACTCCGCCTCTGGGTTCAAGTGATTCTCCTGCCTCAGCCTCAAGAGTAGCTGGGACTACAGTCACGTGCCACCATGCCCAGCTAATTTTTGTATTTTTAGTAGAGACGGGTTTTGCTATGTTGGCCAGGCTGGTCTTGAACTCCTGACCTCAAGCAGTCCCTCCACCTTGGCCTCCCAAAGCGCTGGGATTTTAGGTTTCAGCCACCTCGCCCAGTCAAGGAGACAGGTTTTAAGGAAGCTTGCAGGGAAGGTGGAACTGGGTAGGGCACTTGAGGAGGACGACAGAGCCCAGAAGGGCCTGTGCTGTGAGAGAATATGGTAGTGTCTAGAGAGAGACTCAAGAAGATGGGAACCCCAGAAAAAATCTTATGGGAAAACTATAAATAAAGCCGTATTTATTGATTTTTGAGATGTGGTCTCACTCTGTTGTGCAGGCTTGAATGCAGTGGCGTAATCAGAGCTCACTGTATCCTCGAACTCAAGCGATTCTCCCAACTCTGCTTCCCAAAGTGCCCTGATTGCAGGCCTGAGCAACCTTGTGGGCCGTATTTATCGGATGAAAGCCACCCCCCAGAGTAGCCTGGATCTGCTTCCTAGCCCCAAAGATACATATGATGGGATCTAGAGCCTTCCAGTAGGGGAAAGAGCTCCCAGGAGTCAGGCGGGAGAGATGTCTGTCTAAAGGCACAGCACCCTAACGCCTATAACCCTAGTACTTTGGGTGGCTGAGGCAGGGGGATTGTTTGCGCCCAGTTCAAGACCAGCCTGGGCAACATTGTGAGACCCTGTCGCTACAGAAAATGGTTTTTTGTTTTTTTTGAGATGGTTTCAGGCAATTCTCCTGCCTCAGCCTCCTGAGTAGCTGGGATTACAGGCGCACGCCACCATGCCCAGCTAATTTTTTGTATTTTTAGTAGAGATGGGGTTTCACCATGTTGACCAGGATGGTCTCGATCTCTTGACCTCGTGATCCACCCGCCTCGGCCTCCCAAAGTGCTAGGATTACAGGCTTGAGCCACCGCGCCCAGCCCAGAAAATGCTTTTAAAAAAAATTAGCCGGAAATAGTGGTGCATGCCTGTGGTCCCAGCTACTTAGGAGGCTGAGGTGGGAGGGAGGATTGCTTCAGCCCTGGAGGTCGAGGCTGCAGTGAACCGTGTTAGGTTCCCAGTCCCAAAATATAGAAATACAAATAAAAAGACAAGGTGGAAAAACAAAGCTGGCTGCACCGCCAGGTACTGGAACACGGTTGGGCTGCCAGTGCTAAGAGTTGATGTTTATGATTCTGGGGCTGCCCCGCCCCCAATGGGAGGGGCCTCCGAGCCACGCCCCTACCTAAATCCATACGTCCATGGCTACCTGGAGGTTGCCCGGGGCCCAAGAATCAGGCAGTGGGGGCCTGAGGGGGCCAGAAGCGAGGGGTCAGGACCTTCCCTCCCACATCCCCCCAACTTTGTGCTATCAGTGTTCACTAAGCATGAATGAAGGGCCCTTTGGTGAGGGAGGAGGGGTCTCAGGGACCCTGGGAACAGGAAGATGGGTCTGGGGTCCAGGGTTCAGAGTTCTTCGAGCGTCTTGGGATCACGGAGCGGGGGTGTCACAGTGTCACACTGCTTACATCACCCCTCTATGGCCACCCACGACCGCTCACTCATAGCGCGTGCAGGGCACCAGGTCTGGGGTGCGGGGCGCTATGGGGGCTGGAGTCTGGGTCCTGGCCACCCTCTTCCCAACCGCCCTTGGGTCCCCCCACTCCACTGCCCCCTTTGGAGCGCGGCTCACCAGGCGTGAAGAGCGCGATGGCCTTGAGGCAGCCGTACTCGGCCGAGTCGACCTGCAGGCGGCCCAGCTTATCCACCTGCTCCTGGAAGGCGCGCACCTGGTCCATGAAGGCCACTGCGCGCTCGGCGGCCATGGGCGCGGCGTGGAGGCCGGCGGCAGCCAGCAGCGGCGCCGTGTGCAGGGGCAGTGCCGCCTGCGCCGCGTTCAGCACGAAGAGCTCGCTCCAGCTCAGGCGCAGCAGCGCCACCTGGTCGGCCACCGGTAGCTCGGGGAAGAAGGGCGCGTGGCGCGCCCACTCCACGGTGCTGAAGAGCAGCCGCGCCGCCAGCTCGCACACGTTGTCGATGCCCAGCACCGCGCCTGCCGCGCCGCCCCCGGCGCCAAAGCGCCCGGCCGCCGCTGGGTAGGGCTCGGCGCGCAGCAGCTGCGCGATCAACTCGGATACCGGCTGCCCGGGAAAGAGGTCTCCGCCGCCCGCCACCGCCGCCAGCGCCGAGCCCGGGGGGCTGCCCGAGGAGGCGGCCACGGAGCCCGGCAGCGAGTGCGGGATGCGGCCACGCTGCACCGCTGCGGGAGGCGGGGACAGGAGGGACGTGGGGGTGGGAGGGGAGGCGGGGGCACAGCAGGAAACGACGGATAGGAGACGGGGGTGGGGGGGGGGAGGCCCCCGAGGGGCACAGAAGGCCGGGAGGAGTGGGGACAGGAGATGGGGGAGACAGGAAGGGGAGTGAGGGGTATAGAGAGAGGAGAGAGCCGGAAGAGAGGGGAAGGAATGAGGGGCCATGTAGATGCCCAGAGAGACATAGGGCAGGGGTGGGTGGGGGGGTCAGGTGGGGAAAGACAATGCAGGAAAAGTAAGGAAAATAACGGGGGAGACAAAAGTCATCAAGGGGTCACTCAGGCCCTCCCCTCCAAAGCCCCCAGGCCCATAGCCTTTCTTAGAAGGCCCAACCCTACCCCATGGGCGCCAGGCTGTTTAGAAAGTCAGGGGCCAGGAGCCCTCGTCCAGGTCTAGCCACCACCCCTCCCAACACCCCCCACCTGCTGGGGACAAGGAGGGGCATGCCTTGGAGCCTCAATCTGTTAGTCACGGAGTTCCCAGAGCTGAGGATGCGGCCACGGAGAACTTGGGGCACCCTGGCCAGCTTGGTCCCCAAAGCAAGAAATCAGTATCCACCCGGCACCAGCTATTTGCTATGGAGAGGGGACCATTTCTCTACCTTCCATCCCCTCCCCACTACATGGTGACCCCTGAGGGCAGGTTGGTCTCTCTGGGTCCCTGCAGAGGCCACAGTTCAGGGAAAGTTTGGGAGGGCCCCACAGTAGGGAGGGGTCCCGGGGGGGCTGCAGTAGGTCCTCAGTAAACATTAGCCGCGCTATCAGTAGCGTTGAAGGGGGGAGGCCCTGTTGCTGATCTGAGCACATGTCTGCAGTGACCAGGGGGGTGAGAAAGGGGAAACTGAGGCACGAAGCGGAAAAAGGGCCACATGCCTGCCTGGCTTGTGCCGGGGTGGCAGGGCAGACTGGGCTGGTTGCCAGCAGACTAATTAATGAGCTTTAATGAGTTGGCATGCCTCATCTCATCACCCCTGTGAACTCTAGGTCAACTCGTGTAGAGAATGGAGAGGGGAATGCGGGCAAACGCCAGAGTCTAACGGAGCTGAGCGGAGAAGCAGGGGCCTGAGTTCAAGCCTGCTCCAAGGGGTCCCTGAGTCTGAGTCAACTGTGAAATGGAGAGAGCTGGCCTGGGCCCAGAAGTAGCTCCTTGGTCCTTCAGGGAGCTTCTTCCTCACTTTGCTAACGGTTGTGAGCAACCTCCACTCCCTCACCAGGCCGTGTTCCCACCCCAGGGCCTTTGCACTTCTTAACTCTTCCCCAAACCCTTCCCAGCTCTTCAGCCCAGACTCTGCAGGTTCAAATCCCAATGACAACTCTCTTGCTCTCTGACCAATGGCCTCACCAACCCATGTGTGCCTCAGTTTCCTCAACTGTAAAATGCAGACAGTGGCTCCCATTTGCATGCCCAGCACTTTGGGAAGCTGAGGCGGGAAGATCGTTTGAGCCCAGGAGTTCAAGACCAGCCTGGGCAACATAGTGAGACCCCATCTCTACAAAAAATTAAGACATGAGCCCAGCATGGTGGCGAACGCCTGTAATCCCAGCTACTCAGGAGGCTGACGGGGGAGAATCACTTCAACCAAGAGATTGAGGCTGCAGTGAGCTATGATCACACCACTGCACTTCAGCCCGGAAGACAGAGTGAGTGAGACTGTATCTCAAAAAAAGAAAAGAAAATGAAAAAGAGGACAAGCGCGGTGGCTCATGCCTATAATCCCAGCACTCTGGGAGGCCAAGGTGGGTGGATTGCCCGAGCTCAGGAATTTGAGACCAGTCTGGGCAACACGGTGAAACCCCGTCTCTACTAAAATAAATAAAAAATTAGCCAGGGCATGGTGGCATGTGCCTGTAGTCCCAGCTATGTGGGAGACTGAGGCAGAAGAATTTCTAGAATGCAGGAGGTGGAGGTTACAGTGAACCAAGATCACGCCACTACACTCCAGCTTGGGCAGCAACAGAGCGAGACTCCATCTCAAAAAAAAAGAAACAACTTCAAAGCAGGAGAGGCTCAGGTCAGACATTGAAAAGAACTGCCAGCCTGGCCCATGGCACAGTCCCCGGGGGGCGGGGAACCTGAAACCCAGTATGGGAGAGATCTCGTCCAATAGGCTAGATTCTATTCCTGGACCCCAGAAATCCATATGGAAATCTCTGGGTTCTACTTGAATTCTAAGGGGGTTTGGCAGAGTCTTAGGCCCAGCAGCCCCCCCATACACCCGTCCACCCAGGTCCCCTGAGCAGAGAGACACAGCTGGGCCTCACTCTGACTCCCAGCACCCGGGGTCAGGAGAAAGGGTAGGCTGCCCTTTGCCTTAATCGGGCAGAGTTCCTGCCTTGGGCAAACAAAAAGCATGGGTGAAGGGTGGAGGGGAAGCAAATCAAATAAAAAAAACACACACATCCTTGTTCAGAAAGCAGTGTCCGGGCTCGGAGACAAGGAGGTCACCAAGGTGTCAGGGCCAGGGGACCAGCCTCTGAGGCCAGGGCTGGGGATACTTGGGGAGGGAGCTCCTGCAAGAGAAGAGGGCTGGGGAAAGTCCCTCATGGGCCCAAGTAGTGACATCCCTGGCCTTTCAGCTCCACGGCAGCAACCAGGGGGCCATGGATTCTAATTGGATTCCTCCAGCCTGGAGCCAGACCATATCCCACGGGATCAAGGGATCGGTGGTAATGAGGTTAGCAGGCGCTGGCCCCGGCCCCCTGAGGCTCCCAGACCCCTGTGAAAGGGAGGGAAGAAGGGAGGAAGCTGTTTGCTCACCCTGGCCCCAGCTGCTGTGATCGTCCCCAGCGTTGTACTCACCCTCCTTCCTCATGCCCACCCGGAAGCACTTCTTGAGACGGCAGTACTGGCACTGGTTCCGGTGGTGCTGGTCGATCTGGCAGTCACGGTTGGACCTGGGGTATACACAGACCAGGGCTCCCTGAGACCCCATGTCCTCTCCCCAAACCAGCCTCTGAGCCGCCTTTGGAGGCTGCCCCTCAGAAATACTAGGAGGCATTTCTAGATGGGGGAGATAGCCCCAAAGGGGAACCGGAGCTCAGCTTACAGGTCTGCAAAGCAGACACAATAACCTGGATGGGTGGTGACGGGTGAAGAGGAGTCTGTGGAAAAGCAGATGAGCACTCCAGGGAGGGCACATTGGCACTGGGTTTTGAAGGATGAATAGGAGTTCTCCAGGTGAATGGAGAGGTGATCCCAGGGAGAGGGTACAGCCAGAGCAAAAGGGTTGAAATGCACAAATATGGACACCTAAAGGGTTTCATTTGATTTGGTCACTGTCAGGCTGAGCAGGGTCATTGTCTCTAAAATGACGTGGAGGCAGAGAGGACCTGGACAGGGAGCTGGGCTTTGTGAGTTAACCAGGGGTCAGGCCAGGGGCTAGTGGTCTAAGGGGTCACAGCATTAGCACCCACAAAAGGCCCCCACCAATGAAGGAATAAGTAAAAGTTACTCGGGTCCTCCGTTCTGAAGACCCCACATCTACAGTCCTCTTCTGGGAGGACTACCCAACGCCTAAGCAAGCCCCAGAGACTCCTGGGCAGCCCTCAGTGAATGCTGCTGCCTCTTGCAGGGACGAGACAGGTGGCCCCACCTTGAGAGGTAGTGAGCTCCCCGTCCAGGCTCAGCCCCAAGCAGGAAGGTCCAGACCCTTATTCTTCAAATGTCCCCAGAATCTTCTCCCCTTGGCCCCTCCCCTCCCGGTGTCTTGCCACCAAGAGCTGGGGGTTCTCCAAGGCCCGGGCCTGGAGCTACTACCCGTGGAGTCCCAGCTACATACCCAGAGGACAGTCACAGAGTTGAAGAGCCACTTAAGGGAAGGAAATAGATGCATCTCGGCTAGCTGCGGTGGCTCACACCCGTAATCCCAATGCTTTGGGAGGCTGAGGCAGGCGGATCAGCTCCAGACCAGCCTGGCCAACATAGTGAAACCACATCTCCACTAAAAATACAAAATGAGCTGGGCGTGGTGGCACATGCCTGTAATACCAGCTACTTGGGAGGCTGAGGAAGGTGAATCGTTTGAACTGGGGAGGCGGAGGTTGCAGTGAGCCAAGATTGAGCCACTGCACTCTAGCCCGGGGGTACAGAGCAAGACTCTGTCTCCAAAAAAAAAAAAAGGGGGGGGGTCCTGGCTCAGTGGCTCATACCTGTATTCCCAGCACTTTGGGAGGCTGAGGCGGGTGAATCACGAGATCAGGAGTTTGCGATCAGCTGGGCCAACATGGTGAAACCCTGTCTGTACTAAAAATACATAAAACTAGCCAGGTATGGTGGCAGGCACCTGTAATCCCAGCTACTCAGGAGGCTGAGGCAGGAGAATCATTTGAACCCGGGAGGTGGAGGCTGCAGTGAGCAAAGATTGGGCCACTGTACTCCAGCCTGGGTGACAGAGACTCGTCTCAAAAAACAAAAACAAAAACAGATGCATCTGAACTGCAGACACCCAGCCCCGCCCCTCAGATGGTGACTGCCCCACTCAGCCTTGGTTTCCTCACCTGGCAATGGGACACCAGATACCTCCATGGGACAGGGGAGTTCACCGGAGGGGACAGTGTCGAGAAGGACCCAGGCCCCAGCCCAGGAAGCCATCGGCAGACTTCGGAAAGATGAGGCTCTGCGCCTACCCCCAACCCCACCCCCCGGATCCTGCATCGCCAGCGCTGAGCCCCTGGGAAGAGGCCTCTCTAGGGCAGAGGGAGCTCAGGCAGAACCAGAACAAAGCCCAGCTCGGGGCGGTGGGAGGATACAGAGCAGCCGGGTGGAAACAGCCCTGCCCGGGGCGGCCCTGCAGGCAGGCAGGCAGGCAGGCAGGCAGGCAGGCAGGCCCCTGACCTCAGGGGAGGCCCTGAACCTTCTGTCCCAACTTGCCCAGCTATGGAATTGGGACAATTCGTCCCTCCAAGGAAGGAAACAGTTCTTCCTGTTATCCCACCTGAAGAGTACATGCTTTTGTTGCCCAACCCCATGGCCCAAATCAGCCTCCTCCCTGGGCTTCTGGCCACCAGTCCAGTTTGATCAGATCCCTCCCTTGCTCACACACCCTCTATGGCTCCCCATTACCCTCAGCCAGCATTTCAGGCCCACCTGGCTCTGTCTTCTCCCAAGGCTGTGCAGTCTCCTCTTACAGCACAGCTCCGCCAGTGTGCCCCTGAATGTTCTGTCTGGCTGGCATGCCCCTGTGGCCTTCCACCTGCCAATTCCATGCTTCGAGGCTCATGTCCTGGAGCCTCCTCCAGGGAGCCCTCTCTGACTTCCAGGCAGAGTCTCTGCTCTCTCCCTGGGAGCCCAGATGTCACAGGCTTGGGGCATCTGTCTCACTGTGTCTCCTCCAGACTGGGGGCTTCTTGGGTGCTAGGCTTGGTGCTGGGGTCTCTCTGGCGAGCATCAAACCACCCAGGCTGGGCCCCAGCAGGCCCCCGCCAAATCCGTCTGAGACTCAGGATGGTATGGTGACTTCACCAGGTCACACAACTCACACAGCACAAAGCTGCCAGCTCCAAGCAAGGCCCCCTAAAACTTGGTGCTCCCTGATCCCACCCTCAGGAAGCCCCTGGGACCCCAAAATTGCCTGAGCCCCCTTCCTTGCCCTCCCCAAAGATATGACCAGAGAGCAGGCAGTTTTCCAGCAGCAAGAATGAGGCCAAAGTCTAGTGGCCCAGTTTGTGCTCCTGGAGGAGGGAGCCAGGCAGCTCCGCGCCACACAGGGCCACGCCAGGCCAGCCCTGACTCAGGACCTGGGGCCAAACTCCACCCTCGGGTACCTGGGGCCCTATTTGGTGGCCTCAGCCAACAAGTCTTCCATCAGCCGTTCTCCCTGGGGACACCCCAATCCGGACTCAGCGGTTCCTCCCTACCCCACAGTTCCCCCTGCAAAGCCCCTCCCAACTCGGGAGGGTCCCTACATGTGCCACGGATGGCAGGCACCTGGACCTCTCTTTGGGTTTCTATTTTGTGCATCTGGGAGATGAGACTGTCTAGGCCCGCCCTGCCGAGACCCTGCATGTACCTGGGGTGCAGAGTAGGGGCTTGTAAACGGACGGATAGGATGCTCACGCTCGAACCGTGGGAAAAGAACTCCGGGCTGCACAAGCCCGATCGCTTTCCTTGGGGACCTTCCGCCAGGAACAGCTAGCGAGGCCACGCCCTGCCAGAAAGGTCTCCGACCTGGGACAGCCCGGGGCGCCTTCTCGGAAACGTTTCACACCCAGCCCGTCTCATAAACACCCAAAGTTTAAGGGATTTTTCCAGGAGCCCCAGGTCTGCACCCACCACTGGGGGAGGGGGACGTTTCAGTCAATTCCGGTGGCCCTGCCGGCCCTCCAGTGGCGATTTCCGGTGACCCAAGGCCCAGAGTGAGCCCAGGGGGGTTCCCCGGGATGGGCAGGCCCAGCGCCCACCCTCATCCCCACCGCTGGGCCCCTCACGCAAAGAAGGCCACGCCGTGCCACCCCAGCCTCCCTCCGTCTGCCGCCTCGGTAGCCACAGCGACTTTGGAAGTGATATTTGACCCCAAGGGCGCGCCGTATCGATCCGCGCGGCCGCAGACAATGGCCCCTGGACGCTGCGAGCTCCACGGTCCAAGTTTCACGTTCGATTCCCTTGAGGGTATCCCGCGTGCCGGGATCCCCGAGAGCGGGTGCCCTGGGGTCGGGATGCCACCCCTGACAGCACCCCTCCCCCCCAGCGCGGAGATGACCCCTCCCCAGAGAAAAGGCGGGGAGGAAGGAGGAGCAAATAACTGGGGCAAAAGCCTCCAGGGACCACCTGATGGGGGGGAACCTGCAACGATGCAGTGCCGACTGTATACATAATCCCAGCCATGGAATGTGGGAGGCAGTGCTGTGCCCCTATCTCAGAGGGGGCAGTGGAGGCCCAGGGAAGGTCAGTGCCAGGCCCAAGGTGACCCAGCGGGTCAGAGGCCCGCCCCAGGTCGGGGCCCGGTGCACCCGGCGGCGCGCGGATGGGGAGCTCACCGGCAGGTGTAGCTGAGGTTGCGGCGGATGCTCCGCTTGAAAAAGCTCTTGCAGCCCTCACAGGTGAAGACGCCGTAATGCTTGCCGCTCGACTTGTCCCCGCACACCACGCAGTCCACCTGCAGCCCCGGCCGCTCTTCGTCGCCCGGCTCGGCGTCGCTGGCTGCACCGGGTGGCGAGGCCGAGTCGTCCTCAGCCGCGCGCGGGTAGCCGCCCGCCTTGTCCACGCCGTTCGTGTCGCCGCCGGGGCCGCCCCAGCCGCCGGTCACCATGGCCATAGCCCCAGGGCAGCGGGGCCGGGGCGCCCCCTCCGCGCTCTTCCCTCCGGGCACCCCTCTCAGCCCGGGGGACCCTACGCGGCGCGCATCCGGCCCCGGCGCGCGGGGGGCACGAGTTGCCCCCCCAAAAAAGTTTTGCAGCAACTTCCTGCGGCCGGTCCGCGCGCCCCGGCGGAACTGGTCGGGCCGGTTCCAGGCCAACTTTCCCACGCGTGCGCGGGGCCGGGCCCGGGGCCGGGAGGGACGCGCTAGAGGCGCGGGCCGGGGGCCCCGAGGACTCGCGTCCCGCCACCCTGGGGCCCCCGCGGGGGCGCGCGGGCCATGGCCCGGCCCGAGCCGCGCAGGGGGCGCCCTCTGGCCTGGCCGCCGCTCGCCCGGGGGCTGCGGCCAACTCAGCGGGCCGCCATCCGAGCGCGGGAGGCCGGGGGGAAAGTTTGGCCGCAAGTTGCGCGGCCGCCCGTGGCGGGGGGGGAGGGGCGGCGGGCGCGCGCCGGGGCCGGTCGCCGCGCCCCCCGGGTCCCCCGGCGCCGGCGACTGCCGCTGCGGGCCTGCAGGGCCGCGGGGCCGGCGCCTCCGGAGCTGCCGCCCCCGCTGCGGCCGCTCCCGCCTGGCCTGGGCCTGCGCCTGGGCCCGAGCCTCGCTCTCGCCGCCGCCACCGCCGCCGACCCCGCGCGCCGGCCTCGCGCTGCGGCCGGTTTGACACACAGCGTTCCATTCGCGGGGCGGGCGGGGGGCGGGGGCGGGGGCAGGGGCGCGCGCCGCGGGCTGGGGGCGGGCGCTCGTTGCCCCGGCGACGGCCGCCCTTATAAGGGCATGGGTGGCCGCGCGCGGCGCCAGGCGATCGGGCCGGCGGGAGGGACGGGGGCCGAGCGCGGGGCCGCGGGGCCTGACCCTCCCCCGCCTACCCCTGCCCCTCCCCCGCACCCCCGCCCTCGCCCTCGCCCGGCTCCAGCCTTAACCCCTGCCGGGCCGCGGCGGGAGCTTGAGCCGCGCCTGCCCTCTGCCCTTCTTGAGCCTCGCCAAGATGTCTCTCCAAGGCCCTCCCCCTCCACCTATGGCCTTGGACGTTGGTTCGCTCGATCACCCTCGAGGCGCCCCTCGGAACCTCCCCCGCCCCACGTTCCCGGCATAGCAGTGATGGGGGTCCAGTGGCACCCGGGGGGGGGCACGCCCCTGCGCGAGACACACACACACACACACACAGAGCCTAGATTGTGTTTGCTTCCTCTTCCACAAAGTCGCGGTGTCTGGCCCCCACCCCACCCTTTCTCTGCTTGGGTTAACACCTGGTGCCCGGAATCTCTAGGGGGAAGGGATGTTGTGGTCTGAGACCGGCTGGCCGGGGCCGCGAGGTCAGGGGGCCCCTCTCCAGAATTTCTGGCCTCCGGGGGCAGGGCGCCCACCCGCCCCGCGGCTGGAGGCGACAGGCTTGCCCACCACCCCTGCCGAGGACCTGCCCCTTTTCCCTTTTAATTTCCTTTTCTTTCTGTGCTTTACAGAAAGGGCTTGGCCTGGCGGCCGGCTGGACTGCAGATGTCTCTTCCAGGCGCCCAGGAGCCTCGCAGCTGCCGCCGCCTCCAACTCACCCCATCCCCCAGAACCGGGGCTGGGGCCCAACCAGCATTTATTAGGCACCCTTTGTATGCGATGTCCGGGCTCGTGAGCTGGGGAAGCCTGGGCCTCTGGCTCTGGGCGGGTTAACCTTTAACCGGCTGGAAAAGCCCTTCCAGGAGTGACCTTTCACCTCCGAATCCTGCAGCCCCGGCCTCCCAGAATGTGATCCCACCCTGCCCTGAGCCCAGAGCTGGACACCAGAGCTTGTGGCTCGGCCTCTCAGAGCTCCGGCCAGGACAGTGCCCTCTTCACGCCTCCTCCTCTGCCTCCCACTCCCCTCATGAGACTTGAAGGATATTGCCCTCCCTGGAATAGGGGGAAAGATGCTTAGAGATCTTGCAACACTTGAAAAGAAACTGAGGTTCTGGGAGGGCCAGGCACACCCAGCCCTTGGCCTCTCAACCTCCTTCAGGGACCCTCCGGCTGCCTGCGAGGTGGAGGTGGTGTTGGTAAATACAGAAAGCAGGAAGGACTACGATTAGTCAGGAGCAAGGACTTCCCGTGGGTCTAGAGTCAGGTTCTGCCCACAGCCTGATGTAATAATCCCTGCTGGGAGAGAGGAAGGTGTGGGTGGGCAGAGAAGACCCTTTGGTTCTGAAGCTGCATGGGACTGTGACTGGTTATGTGGGGCGAGGACAGGTCCTTGTTTGGACCTGCTAGGATCTTTGGTGGGGGCACTGGGGTGGGGGTCTCAGAGAAGGGATTGAAAAGAGGGATTTAGACCAGAGACAGGCGTGGTGGCTCATGCCTGTAATCCCAGCGCTTTGGGAGGCTGAGTCAGGAGGATTTCTTGAGGCCAGGGTTTCAAGACCAACCTGGGCAATAAAGTGAGACCCGTCTTGAGCCCAGGTGTTCAAGGCTGCAGTGGGCTATAATCTTGTCACTGCACTCCAGCCTGAGCAACACCCTGTCTCAAAAAAAGAAAAATAAAAAATAAGGAGGGAGAGAAGACTCAACTAATCAGGGGACTGTGAAGGAGAGGGAGCAGAGAACTAGATTGGAGAGAGACAAGTCTCGAGAGGGAGCTGAGGGCTGGGTGGGGGCTGTGGGGGAAGAAGGGCCACTGAGATCCCAGAAACTCCAGCAGCCCGGCCACCCCTGCGCCCCCCTGGGGCCCGCCTGGGGGTGAGTTGAGGCTCAGCCCCGCCTCCCTGACCCCTGCCCGCGGCCCCGAGGTAACATTTGACCTTGTGGCAGCCGCAAACCAGGGACAAAGGGACCTGGGCCCATCTGCCGTGGGAATGGCGGATCCTGCTGGAGCAGCCTGGGAACCTGTCCCGCCCCCCACCCCAACATGTGACCTTGGCTCCCAGTGCCCCTCCAAGGGCAACCTGGTGGGACTGGGAGCTCTGTGGAGCGGGAGGGGGGACGGGGACAGAGAGGAAATTCAGTTTCTCTGCCCGGCCCCAACATGAGCAAAGAGTCTGGTCTGCCTCTATTTCCCTGCTTTCTTCAAAGCTGGCCCAAGTCCAGAGACAGCGTGCCGGTCGGAAGGTTACTAGCCCCACCCCTCACTGGAGGGGACTGTGCTCTCCACCCGCCCCCCGCCGCCCCGCTCCACTTGTTGTTCTGTTTCTGGGGTCAGGTTGACTGGGTTCGAGTCCAGGAGGCTGACTGGCACTGGCCTCAGGCTGGCATGGTCCTGCCCTGGGAGAGGCTGTGAACACACCTGCACAGGTGAGGCCTGGAGCACCCGCCCCCACCCCCAGGCAGGGAACGAAAACCTTTCTAATCCCAGTCTCAGGTTTCAGCTGCCGCCCTGGAGGGGCCAGCTGGCCACTAATCCAAGCCTGACTGGGTCGTTCCACACTCAGCCACTCCTGGTGTGGAGGGGCCAGGAGGTGTGGCATATGCAAATGACATGCTAATCTACGGCCTGCTATTATCCTCCCGCGCCCCCAGGAGAAAGCTGGAACTGGCCACTGTTGGCATTTATTCTCAGTTTCTCTTGAAGTACAAAGCCACCTGAGTCCCAGACCGTTACCTTTGCTGTGCCTGTCCCCCGCCCAGAAACCCTTTACCTTACTTTATTTTTGAGACAGTCTCATATTTTGCCCAAGCTGGTCTTGAACCCCTGGCCTCAAGCAATCCTCCGGCCTCAGCCTCCTGAGACATTGGAATTACAGGCAAACTCGACTACACAGAGTCCAGAAACCCCTGACCTAAGCTTTGAGTTAGTAGCAACTCCTCATCCACACCCTGAATCTGAACCATTCCAGCTTCATTCTCTACTCTGGGATATGGCATCTTCTAACTGTTTTGTTTTGTTTTGTGGGGTTTTTTTGGTTTGTTTTGTTTTTGAGACAGAATTTCCCTCTTATTGCCCAGGCTGGAGTGCAGTGGCGTGATCTTGGCTCACTACAACCTCCGCCTCCTGAGTTCAAGCAATTATTCTGCCTCAGCCTCCTGAGTAGCTGGGACTACAGGCACGTGCCACCACACCTAGCTAATGTTTGTATTTTTAGTAGAGACGGGGGTTTCAGCATGTTGGCTAAGCTGGTCTCAAACTCCTGACCTCAGGTGATCTGTCTGCCTCGGTCTCCCAAAGTGCTGGGATTACAGGCATGAGTCACTGTGCCCAGACTGTTTTGTTTTCTTGAGACAGGCTCTTGCTCTGTCACCCAGGCTGGAGTACAATGGCGTGATCGCAGCTCACTGCAACCTGTTTCCCAAGCTCAAGCGATCCTCCCACTTTAGCCTCCTGAGTAGCTTTGTAGGCACTCGCCACCATGCCCGGCTAAGTTTTATATTTTTTTTTGTAGAAATGGGGTTTTCAGGCTGGGCACAGTGATGCATGCCTGTAATCTCACCACTCTGGGAGGCCGAGGTGGGCAGATCACAAGGTCAGGAGTTCGAGACCAGCCTGAACAACATGGTGAAACCCTGTCTCTACTAAAAATACAAAAATTAACCGGGTGTGGTGGCAGACACCTGTAATCCCAGCTACTCAGGAGGCTGAGGCAGGAGAATCGCTTGAACCTGCGAGATGGAGGTTGCAGTGAGCCCAGATCTTGCCACTGCACTCCAGCCTGGGTGACAGAGCAAGACTCTATCTCAAAAAAAGAAATGGATTTTGCCATGTTGCCCAGGCTGGTCTTGAACTCCTGGGATCAATTGACCCACCCACTTGGCCTCCCAAAGTGCTGGGATTACAAGCATGCACCACCACGCCTGGCTCCCTTCAGGAAAATCTGCCAGCCCAACCCAGCATCTCCCTGGGAAGGGGATGCCAGGAGAGGCTGTGTCCAGTACCCATGAATCCCTCCCTGAGAGTTTCTGGAGACAGAGGACAGTTGGAACTTCAGCTGTGGCTATGCAACCTCACGGACCCCCAAACTGTGCCAGTCCCAGGGACCTGCTCCCACAGCTTCTGGCTGACCCTGCTGATATGTGAAGTTCACATTCCACATGGTGCCAGACCAAAGACACCCGAGTCTTTCTGCAGTGCCTGGCCACACCCCATCGGGCCCTGGACACCCATGAGCACCAGCCTCCCTCACATCAAATGTGCCCCAACATGCCAAATCATATAACATGACATGATATCACTCCAGGACAGTTTATGACACGCCGCAGCGATCTGGTACATCCAGACACGGCTGGAGAAAGGGCTACAGAAAGGTCTCCCCCAGCTGGGGTGGCGGGAGGGAAGGCCTGGGCTTCTCCAGGGCCCTTGCAGTGGCCTCCAGCACCGCCACCTCCTCAGCCTGCTGAGCCTCCAAGAGTGCCATCTGCTGCTCCAGCTTCCGGCGTTGCTCTTCCTGCTTCCGGTGGGCTCCTCGGAAGGCCAGGACCAGGGCGCTGGAAGGGGTGGGTGCTGGGTCAGGAAACAGTCCCCAACTCCACCCAAGGCAGGGCCGTGGACTCCCGCTCCCAGAATGGGGGCTCTTAGACATTCGGTTTCCCAGGGTCCCAGGTAGCTGGTCTTTTTTTTTTTTTTTTTTTTTTTTTTGAGATAGAGTTTTGCTCTTGGAGTGCAGTGGGGTGATCCTGGCTCACCCCAACCTCCGCTTCCCAGGTTCAAGTGATTCTCCTGCCTCAGGTAGCTGGGATTACAGGCATACACCACCATGTTGGGCTAATTTTGTTTTTGTTTTTGTTTTGAGACCAAATCTCATACCGACACAGGCTGTAGTGCGGTGGTGTGATCTCTGCTCACTGCAATCTCTGCTTCCTGGGTTCAAGCAGTTCTTCTGCCTCAGTCTCCCAAGTAGCTGGGACTACAGGCGCCCACCACCAAGGCTAATTTTTTTGTTTGTTTGTTTTTTAGACAGAGTCTTGCTCTGTCACCCAGCCTGGAGTGCAGTGGCCGGATCTTGGCTCACTGCAACCTCCGCTTCCTGTGTTCAAGTGATTCTCCTGCCTCAGCCTCCTGAGTAGCTGGGATTACAAGCGCACACCACCACACCCAGCTAATTTTTCTTTTGTATTTTAGTAGAGACGGAGTTTCACCATGTTTGCCAGGATGATCTCAATCTCCTGACCTCGTGATCCACCCGCCTCGGCCTCCCAAAGTGCTGGGATTACAGATGTGAGCCACCACCCCCAGCCCTAATTTTATATTTTTAATAGAGACGGAATTTCTCCATGTTGGTCAGGCCAGTCTTGAACTCTCGACCTCAGGTGATTCCCCCGCCTCGGCCTCCCAAAGTGCTGGGATTATGGGCATGAGCCACCGTGCCCGGCCTAGCTGGTCTTTTTGTTGTTGAGATGGAGTTTTGCTCTTGTTGCCTAGGCTGGAGTGCAATGGCAATATCTCCCCTCATTGCAACCTCTGCCTCCCGGGTTCAAGTGATTCTTCTGCCTCAGTGTCCTAAGTAGCTGGGATTGCAGGCGCCCACCGTCACACCCAGCTAATTTTTTGGTATTTTTTTAGTAAAGACCAGGTTTTACTATGTTGTCCAGGCTGGTCTCGAACTCCTGACCTCAAGTGATCCACCCGCCTCGGCCTCCCAAAGTGCTAGGATTACAGGAGTGAGCCACCACGCCCAGCCTGTTGTTTGTTTTGAGACAGAGTCTTGCTCTGTCGCCCAAATTGCAGTACAGTGGTGTGATCTCTGCTTACTGCAACTTCCACTTCCTGGGTTCAAGCAATTCTGCCTCAGCCTCCTAAGTAACTGGGATTACAGGCATGTGCCAAGACTCCCAGCTAATTTTTGTATTTTTACTAGAGATGGGGTTTCACCACATTGGCCACACTTGTCTCAAACTCCCGACCTCAAGTGATCTGTCGGCCTCAGCCTCCCAATGTGCTGGGATTACAGGTGTGGGATTACAAATCTTCACTATCTTGGGACAGCGGGGAAAGCTCAGACCCAGAGAGAGCCAGGGATACTTCTGAGATCCTGGACGTGGACTGTGCCAGGGGGATTGGCGGGGTGCAGAACAGGGTCCCACCTGTGGGCTTTGCATAAGTCCCTGTTCAGCTCGGCACTCTGAGACCGTCTGGCTCGCCCCTTCTGCGCCACGCGTTCCAGCTCCCCACGCAGAGACTGCAGCTGTTCCCGCAGGTCCAGTGCTCTGATGCAAACATGGAGAAGAGAGAGAGCTCACAGCCCAGCCGATCCTATTTCCCACCTCTCCTCCCCCCAACCTGCTCACAGTATTGTCACATAAACACACTTGTACACAGATGTGCACCTGAGCTGCTGCTGCATACGACACCCCACCCCTGGGGGCCCTCACATAAACTGTACAAGCCCCACCCCCCCACCCAGCCCGGGACCCAGGCACACACCTGGTGAGTGACGCTGCCAGTTCCTGGGCTAACTTCTCTGGGCCCCATGCTTTGCCCACCTGGCCACCGTCAATGCCACTGGTGCCACCAGGGACAACAGGAAGGCCCTGACGGAGGGAGAAGACAAGAAAGTGACATTGGCTAAGCCAAGTACATGCACGGCCCACGCTGGACACTGAAGCTGCCCAGATAACAGCAGCAGCAGCTGCCTTCTCAGAGTCCCCAGTCTGGTTCCATACCCCCATAGGAGTGAAATTACCCTCTGATAAGGGAAATATTTAATTAAAAAATATGGCTGGGCATGGTGGCTCATGCCTGTAATCCCAGCACTTTGGGAGGCTAGGGTAGGATGATCACTTGAGGTTGGGAGTTTGAGACCAGCCTGGCCAACATGGTGAAACCCTGTCTCCACTAAAAATACAAAAATTAGCCAGACATGGTGGCTGGTGCCTGTAGTCCCAACTACTTGGGCAGCTGAGAGGCAAGAGAATCACTTGAACCTGGGGGGTGGAGGTTGCAGTGAGCTGGTATCACACCACTGCACTCCAGCCTAGGTGACAAGAGCAAAACTCCATCTCAAAAAAAAAAAAGAGATGATCTTGCTCTGTGGTCCAGGCTGGAGTTAAATGACATAATTGTGGCTCACTGAAGCCTCCAACTCCCAAGTGATCCTCCCACCTCAGCCTCCCAAAGTGCTGGGATTATAGTCGTGAGCCACCGCGCCCAGCCCTGATAAAGGAGATAAATTAACAGGGGACTTGGATGAGGCTGATGTCCAGGAGGACTTCCTCGAGGAGTTGATGTCTAAGCTGAGATCTACAGGAGGTCAAGGACTTTATGACACAAAGAGGGAAGTGACTGATGTTCCTGGCAGGGGCACGGAATGTACAAAGGCTTGGGGGTGGGAGAGATGATTTCAAGAGCTGCATTAAGGCCAGGCACACTGACTCATGCCTGTAATCCCAGCACTTTGGGAGGCCGAGGCAGGCAGAACATGTGAGACCAGGAGCTCGAGACCAGCCTGGCCAACATGGTGAAACCCCATCTCTACAAAGAATACAAAAATTAGCTAGATGTGGTGGTGCATGCCTGTAATCCCAGCTACTCAGGAGGCTGAGGCAGGAGGATTGCTTGAACCCAGGAGGCAGAGGTTGCAGTGAGCCAAGATCGCACCATTGCACTCCAGCCTGGGCAACAGAGCAAGACTCCATCTCAGGGAAAAAAAAAAAAAAAAAGCGTGGACTCTGAGGATTCTTGAAGCCACTCTTTAAGCAGAGAACAAACATGTTCAGAAGTGGAAAAAAGAAAGGCTTCAGGGAAGAGGCTGGTACCAAAATCTAGGAGGTGAGGTACAGACTGGGGCAATTGCCAGGGGGAGAGGACGGACTAGGGACAGACCTTCGGTGGGAAGGAGGAGACGCACTTGTGAGTGGAAGATGCTGTACCCTTTCGGGCTTATTGGGCTCATACTCTCACAGAAAGAAACCCTTTGGCTGGACATGATGGTTCATGTCTGTAATCCCAGCATTTTGGGAGGATCACTTGAGACCCAGTATTCGAGGCTGTGGTGAGTTATAATCACACCACTGCACTCCAGCTTGGTGACAGAGCAAGACCCTAACTCGAAAGACAGAGAGAGAGAGAGAGAGAGAGAGAGAGAAAGGAAAGAAGGAAAGAAAGAAAAAGAAGGAAGGAAGGAAAGAAAGAGAAAGAAAGAAAAGAGAGAGAGAGAGAGAGAGAAAAATGGGCATGTGGCTCACGCCTGTAATCCCAGCACTTTGGGAGGCCAAGGTGGGCGGATCATCTGAGGTCAGGAGTTTGAGATCAGCCTCACCAACATGGAGAAAACCATCTTTACTAAAAATACAAAATTAGCTGGGTGTGGTGGTGCACGCCTGTAATCCCAGCTACTCGGGAGGCTGAGGCAGGAGAATCACTTGAACCTGGGAGGCGGAGGTTGCAGTGAGCTGAGATCGTGCCATTGCACTTATTTCAGCCTGGGCAACAGAGCGAAACTCCGTTTCAAAAAAAAGGAAAGAGGCTGGGTGTGGTGGCTTATCCCTGCAATCTGGGTGCTTAGAGAGGCAGAGGTGGGAGGATCACTTGGGCCCAGGAGTTTGAGATCTGCCTGGGTGACACAGAGAGACTCAGAAGGAAGGAAGGCAGGGAGGGAGGAAAACCTCATAGCACAGGTGTGAGTTTGACATAAAGCTTAATCATGCGACTTGCTTCTTGGTGCAGAAGTGGAAACTGAGGCTCAGAAAGGGCTGTGATAAGGCCAGGTGTAGTGGCTCACGTCTATAATGCCAGCACTTTGGGAGGCCAAGGCAGTCAAGAGTTTGGGACCAGCCTGATCAACATGGCGAAACCCCATCTCTACTAAAAACACAAAAATTAGCTGGACGTCGTGGCGTGTGCCTGTAGTCCCAGCTACTTAGGAGGTTGAGGCAGAAGAATCACTTGAACTGGGGAGGCAGAGGTTGCAGTGAGCCAAGACCATGCCACTGTACTCCAGCCTGGGCGACAGAGCAAGACTCTGCCTCAAAAAAAAAAACAAAAAAAAAAACCACAACTGCAATTGACCAGGGCTATGTTCCTGTTAGCAGCTACTGCCGGGTTCAGGCAGGGCAGCTCACCTGGTACCACCCCTCCTCGCCCCCGCTGCTGTCACCTCCACTGCTGTCTCCACCACTGCTGTTTGCCCCACCAGCCCGGAGCTCTGCCCATTCCCAGCGCAGCTGCTCCAGCAGAAGCGCGTGAGCTGGGCCCAGGGCTCGGAGGGCGGCCTCTCGAAGCTCTAGGCCCCGCTTCTCACGTCGCACCAGCTGCAGCCGAAGCATCAGGTCCGCCAGGGTCTCCTGCGGGACCAAGGGGAGGACAGAGAATTTATGCTTCTGGGGTCAACTGCAAGGAAACTGAGGCCCCAAGAGGCACCCACTGAGGACTAATCAGGCAAAAACTGTAGCCTTTGGCCAGGTGCGGTGGCTCACACCTGTAATCCCAGCACTTTGGGAGGGCGAGGTGGGTGGATCACCTGAGGTCAGGAGTTCGAGACCAGCCTGGCCAACATGGTGAAACCCCATCTCTACTGAATATACAAAAATTAGCCAGGTGTGGTGGTGCGAGCCTGTAATCCCAGCTACCCAGGAGGCTGAGGCAGGAGAATCACTTGAACTCGGTGGGGTGGGGGGATGTCGGAGGCTGCAGTGAGCCGAGATAGCACCATTGCACTCCAGCCAGGGCGAGAGCAAGACTCTGTCTCAAAAAAGAACAAACAAAAAACTGGGACCTTTCGCATGTTCTTGTGAGGTAGAAATATATTCCTCCTATAAAAGCTACAGCTGGAGAAATGGCATTTTCTAGAGGTGAGTAGCTTATATAGGTCAAATAGCAATTATGTCAAAGTTTCTAGGTCTCTCCAACTCCAGAACCTCCAGTTTTCATGCCAAGCTCCAAACCCAAGATTGTGTTCTTTGCTCCCATCTCTTTCCATAGGAAGGCCATTTTGGAGAAGCAGATTTGCAGTCTAATGAGAAACTGAACCCCAGAAGACAAACTCCTATTCATCCTTCAAAACCCCACCTCCAATTCTCCCTCACAATGCCTGCACCCAGTCCAGCAGAATTTTCCTTTGCTCCTTGGCCCCCCAACCACAGGACCTCAGTAAAGGATTTTGTCCCACCAGGAGAGACTGACACAGTGGCCACAGCCCTTTGTACCCTTGTGGCCAACAGATCCTGTTGAATTTGTGTCTTCTCCAGCCGGGGCAGAGCTGGGCCAGGCTGGGTCCCCAGAATGGCCTGCACCATGACTTCTGCACGGGGCAGAGTGGGGATGGGTGCCAAGGTGGGGCCAGGCTCTGAGAGAATCTTCACTTGAGCACAACGCTCCTGGAGACGCTGGACATAGCTTCGGAGCTGGAAAGCCACTTCCTCTGTGGGCTTATCCACACTGCTGCCCTCAGGGCTACAGAAAACAGAAGAGGTGCCTGTGTCAACACTGGCAATTGTAAGTGGGCTAATGTCATGCCAACCCTGGTAGGGTCCATCATCTTCCACCTCACTGGCCACAATGGAGCCTCCATCATCTGTGGTGGCCCCTGTCACACTGACATGGTGGGCACCATAATATGAACCCCACTCGGCACCGCCTTCCATCAGGGTCACATGTGGTCAGGTGCAGTGACGCAGGCGTGTAACCCCAGCACTTTGGGAGGCTGAGGCGGGAGGACTGCTTGAAGCCAGAAGTTTGAGACCAGCCTACGCAACAGAGTGAGAATCCATCTTGATAAAAAATTAGCTGGTCTTCAGTGAGGATGTGTGTTAATAAAAATAAAAAAATAGCTGGACATGGTGTTACATACCTGCAGTCTCAGCTACTTGAGGGGCGGAAAGCAGGAGACTGAATGAGACCAGGAGTTTGAGGCTGCAGTGAGCTATGATGGCACCACTGTATTGCAGCCTGGGTGACAGAGCAAGACCCTGTCTCCAACAAAATGTTAAAAAGAAACAAGCAGGCCGGGCGCGGCGGCTCATGCCTATAAGCACTTTGGGAGGCCGAGGCAGGTGGATCACAAGGTTAAGAGATCGAGACCATTCTGGCCAACAAGGTGAAACCCCGTCTCTATTAAAAATACAAAAATTAGCTGGGCATGGTGGCACGTGCCTGTAATCCCAGCTACTCAGGAGGCTGAGGCAGGAGAATTGCCTGAACCCAGGAGGCGGAGGTTGCGGTGAGCCGAGACCGCACCATTGCACTCCAGCCTGGGTAACAAGAGCGAAACTCCGTCTCAAAAAAGAAACAAGCAAACAAAAAAGAACGTGGTGAGCCGGGCACGGTGGCTCACGCCTGTAATCTCAGCGCTTTGGGAGGCCGAGGCGGGTGGATCACCTGAGGTCAGGAGTTCGAGACCAGCCTGGACAACATGGCGAAACACTGTCTCTACTAAAAATCCAAAAATCAGGCAGGCGTGGTGGCAGGCGCCTGCAATCCCAGCTACTTGGGAGGTTGAGGCAGAAGAATCACTTGAACCTGAGGGGTGGAGGTTGCAGTCAGCCGAGATCGTGTCACTGCACTCCAGCCTGGGTGACAAGAACAAAACTCGGTCTCAAAAACAAGAAAAAGAAAGAAAGAAAGAAAACATGGTGGGTTCCATTACAACAACCCGCTAGACACCGCTGCTCATGCCACCTTGCTGGACACCATCACGCCAACCCAATGGGCACCAGCACCTAGATTGTCAACCCTGCGCAGCAGGACCAGGACAACCCTACTAAGCACCATCATGCCAGTTCTTTCTTTATTTTTTCAAGACAGGGTCTCACTGGGCGCGGTGGCTCACACCTGTAATCACAGCACTTTGGGAGGCTGAGGCGGGTGGATCATCTGAGGTTGGGAGTTCAAGACTGGCCTGACCAACATGGAGAAACCCTGTCTCTACTAAAAATATAAAATTAGCCGAGCATGGTGGCAGGCGCCTGTAGTCCCAGCTACTCAGGAGGCTGAGGCAGGAGAATCGCTTGAACAGGAGGCAGAGGTTGCAGTGAGCTGAGATCGCACCACTGCACTCCAGTCTGGGCAACAAGAGTGAAACTCTATCTTAAAAAAAAAAAAAAAAGAGGCCGAGCACAGTAGCTCAAGCCTGTAATCCCAGCACTTTGGGAGGCTGAGGCGGGTGGATCACAAGGTCAAGAGATCGAGACCATCCTGGCCAACATGGTGAAACCCCGTCTCTACTAAAAATACGAAAATTAGCTGGGCGTGGTGGCATGTGCCTGTAGTCCCAGCTACTCGGGAGGCTGAGGCAGGAGAATTGCTTGAACCCGGGAGGCGGAGGTTGCAGTGAGATTGTTCCACTGCACTCCAGCCTGGCGCCTGGTGACAAAGTGAGACTCTGTCTCAAAAAAATAAAAAAAAGATAGGGTGTCACCCTGTCTCCCAGGTTGGACTGCAGTGGCGCAATCTCAGCTCACTGTAGCCTCCACCTCCCAGACTCAAGCCATCCTCCCACCTCAGCCTCCCAAGTAGCTGGGATTACACGGGCACACCACCACACCCAGCTAATTTATTTGTACTTTTGGTAGAGAAGAGCTTTCTCCATGTTACAAGGGCTGGTCTTGAACTCCTGAGCTCAAGGGATCTGCCTGCCTTGGCCTCCCGAAGTGCTGGGATTACGGGCATGAGCCACTCTGCCCAGATCTAACCAGTAGGCATCATCATCCATCTTCACGCCAACTGCAATGTCTGTCAACCACCATGCCAACCTTGCCAAGTAGCAACAGGCCAACTGCAGCTGGGTGTCCTGTCAGCCAACCACAGGGAGTTCCATACGGACCTTGCTGGACTCAGCCACCCCAAGACCCCAAACGTGGTGGACTGTGGGAGCCCCATACCCCCGTCAAGATCCCACTCATCAACCAGCCTAGTTCCCAGGGTTCCCCGGGGGTACCTTGGCTGTGGATTCTGCAGTGCCCCTGCGTCCACGGTGGTCTCCTCTTGTGCCAGCAGCCTCCATGCTTCCTTTTCAGCTGCCTGCAGGTCACCCATGGGGGCTTCGGCTCCTGCTCCTGAGTCGGCCTCCCGCAGAGCAAGCAGGACCCTGTATGCCTCCTCACAATGCTCACTGTAGGACACTGGTTCTGAGTACTTTTGGACACTCAGCTCGGCTGGGTGCAGTGGCCCTCGCCTGTAGTCCCAGCACTTTGGGAGGCCAGAGCGGGAGGATCACCTGAAGTCAGGAGTTCAAGACCAGCCTGGCCAACATGGTGAAAGCCTGTCTCTACTAAAAATACAAAGATTAGCCAGGTACGGGGGTGCACACTTGTAGTTCCAGCTCCTCAGGAGGCTGAGGCACTAGAATCACTTGAACCCGGAGGCAGAGGCTGGAGCGAGCCAAGATCGCACCACTGCACTCCAGCCTGGGTGACAGAGCAAGACTCCATCTCAAAAAAAAAAAAAAAAGAACACTCAGCTCCATCTCAGCCTATAGGTGCCAGTCCCCACTTGCTCTTGAATCTCTCTCTTCTCCCCACTGCCCTCACCTCTGGAAGCATGCAGACTCCTTTAGCACCCCTGAACTAAAATTGCCTTAAATTAATTTCTGGGCTTGTCGTGGTGGCTCACACCAGTCATCCCAGCACTTTGGGAGGCCGAGGTGGGTGGATCATGAGGTCAGGAGTTCGAGACCAGCCTGGTCAACATGGTGAAACCCCATCTCTACTAAAAACACAAAAATTAGCAGGCATGATGGTGCTCGCCTGTAATCCCAGCTACTCAGGAGGCTGAGACATGAGAATCATTTGAACCCAGCAGGCAAAGGTTGGAGTGAGCTGAGATCTTGCCACTGCACTCCAGCCTGGGTGACAGAGCAAGACTCTGTCTCAGACAAAAACAAAATTAATTTCTGAAGTAGTGGAAGGTGCTTTCCAGTGAGGGTCCTGTTGCCCTCTGTGGATTGGGACCATCCTCAGAAAGCCCATTCCCTCCCCAGCTGGTGACATCACTGGCAGGGTGCACTGACCTGTACTGCAAGGCCAGATGCAATGCTGTGGCCTCAGCCTCCCGCTGACCCAGCTGCATGCTGAGGCCCTCACAACGGCCCTTGTATCCCTGGAGCACAGCTGATAGCAGACGGTTAAAGCATTTGAGCTTCTCAATGTTCCTGTCCCACAGGTGGTGAAGAGGGAAAGTCACAGGCCCTCTAAGGTAGTCAGGCCTCAATTTCCACCCTTTCCCTCCCTCCTGTTGCAGCTCCAGACTCTTTGCTTTATAACTCTGCTGGAGGATGTGCCTGTGCCCTTATGAGCTCAGCATCTGAGTCTCTTACCCCCGGAGTTGCTCCATCTGGGCTTCCATGATGCGCAGCTCAGGACTGAGGGGCTGAGTGGGGAGAGGCCCAAGGATCTGGGTGCTAGAATGGCTGTGGAGGCGCTGAAGCAGGGGGTGAGCCAGAGAGAAGGAGTCCTGCCAAGAAGAGGTGATGTAATGGACCCCAGTTGTCACCAAGAGCCTGGGATTGTAGGCATTTTCCAACCCCAGAAGCTGTTGGATCCCATGGCCAAGATTTGAGTCTCATCCCCCTGAATGTTAAGGACATCAAGACCATGGATTTGAACTTCTCATACTCACCTGAGTCTCCCAAGGTTCCCTGTCTGCCTCAGAGCTGCTAGAACCACTGCCTGAGCCACCCGCTTGGCTGTGGGAAAGATGTGGGAAGGGCTCCAGCCTCAAGAGGGAATCCTGCAGCTCCCGAACCTGGGAAGGATGAGAGAGGATGTCAGGCCTAGGGACTCAAACCAACCACCAGCCCTCCCTCCTGAAGGCCTGTTCCTGGGGAAGTGGCAAGAAACCTGGCTGGAAGGCAGGAGGCTTGGATAGTTAGCCTGCCCACAATCTCACTATCTGACCTTCAGAATGTTTCTTAGCTGCTGAAGATTTTTTTATCCAGCAGAAAAATGGGTCCCACTCTGGAGGAAAATGAATCCCAGGGCTCCCACAGCCCCGAGTTTTTTCCACCAGCCTGAGATGAGGGCTTACCTCTCAATGTCTCATTCAGCCACATGGCTTTTTAATTTTATTTATTTATTTACTTAAAAAAATATATATATACATATATATTTTGAGACAGAGTCTCTCTCAGTCACCCAGGCTGGAGTTGCAATGGCACAATCTCAGCTCACTGCAACCTCCACCTCCTGGGTTCAAGCAATTCTCTTGCCTCAGCCTCCTTAGTAGGTGAGATTACAGACTCGTGCCAGCATGCCTGGCTAATTTTTGTATTTTTAGTAGAGTCAGGATTTCTCCATGTTGGTCAGGCTGGTCTCGAATGCTTGACCTCCTGATCTGCCTGCCTCGGCCTCCCAAAGTGCTGGGATTACAGGCATGAGCCACTGCACCCCGCTGGCTTTTTTATTTTTGAGATGGAGTCTTGCTCTGTCACCCAGGCTGGAGTGCAGTGGCACACTCTTGGCTCACTGCAACCTCTGCCTCCCGGGTTCAAGTGATTCTTCTGCCTCAGCCTCTCAAGTAGCTGGGATTACAGGCATCTGCCACCAGGTCTGACAAATTTTTGCATTTTCAGTAGAGATGGGGTTTCACCATGTTGACCACTCTGGTCTTGAACTCCTGACTTCAAGTGATCTGCCTGCCTCAGCCTCTCAGAGTCCTGGGATTACAGGCATGAGCCACCGTGCCTGGCAGTCACATGGCTTTACATGCCACCTATGTGCTAAGGAAGCTCAAATGTCTCCCTTCTGCCCTGCAGTCTCCCCTGAGCCCTGGACTCAGACATATAGCTGCTCCCTTGAGGACCCCACGTGGATGTCTCATGGGCACTTGAGCTTATCAAGCGCCAAAGAGATCTGGTCATCCCCCAACAAAACCTGCCCACCCTGTAGCTCCTCCATCTCTCCCTTCTACTCCTGCAGATCCCAAAGCCTGGAGTTGTCCTTGACTTCTCTCTAGCCTTCATGCCCACACCTGTCAGTTCCATCTTCAACATCAGCCAGCGTTCGTCTGCATCTCTCCACTGCCACAACCTCCGCCGTCGCGCATGTCTGGACCAGTGAAGTCACATCCTGGGTCTCCAGGAGTCCACCCTCACCTCCGAAGACTGTTCCTCACTCCGCCACCAGAGGGCGCCTGTGAACACCTGCGCCGAGCACTCCCTTCCTCCGCTCCGAACCCTCCGTTGGCTCTCACCTGACTCAGAGCAAAGCCCATCTCTCTCCTTGCAGCCCAGGAGGCCTTGTGCGGTCTGCACTTGTCCTCTTTCTGTTCTGGCTCCCCACACTCTCCCTGTTTCCCCTGTGTCCCAGCCACATTGGCCTCCCTCAGGTACCTTGAACAGACAGCCCTCTGGATCTGTTGGAAGTCTTTTCTTCTTTTTCTGGACTGGGTCTGTAACGCGGGTCCCCAGATCCTGGCATAACCCTCCCTCACTTCCTTCTGGTCTTTATTTTATTTTATTTTTTCTTCGAGATGGAGTCTTGCTTTGTCACCCGGGCTGCAGTGATTCTCCTGCCTCAGCCTCCTGAGTAGCTGGGACTACAGGCACGGCCACCATGCCCAGCGAATTTTCGTACTTTCAGTAGAGACGGGGTTTCACCATGTTGACCAGGCAGTCTCGAACTCCTGACCTCAGGTGATCCGTCCACTTCGGTCTCCCAAAGTGCTGGGATTACAGGCATGAGCCATCGCGGCTGGCCTCCTTCTGTTCTTTATTCTCAAGTGTCACTTCCTCAGTGGCCTTCCCTTAAGAAAGATTGCAAGAGGTCTTTATCTGGTCAGCAGGCTCAGGAGTCGAAAGGTTTTTTGTTTGTTTCTGTTTTTGAGATAGAGTCTTGCTCCGTCACCCAGGCTGGAGTGCAGTGGTGTGTTCTTGGCTCACTGCAACTTCCGCCTCCTGGGTTCAAGCGATTCTTCTGCCGCAGCCTCTGGAGTAGCTGGGACTACTGGCGCGAGCTACCATGCCCGGCTAGTTTTTTTGTATTTTTAGTACAGACGGGGTTTCACCATATTGGCCAGGATGGTCTCTAACTCCTGACCACAAGGAAGCCACACACCTCAGGCTCCCCAAGTGCCGGGATTACAGGCATGAGCCACCATGCCCGGCCAACCTGACTAATTTTTACATTTTTTGCAGAGGTGAAGTCTCACTGTGTTGCCCAGGCTGGTTTGGAATTCCTGGCCTCAAAGGATCCTCCTGCCTCCACCTCCCAAAGTGCTGAGATTATAGGGGTGAGCCACCACACCCAGCCTCAAAAGGTTTTTTGAATGAACAAATGAATGAATGTTGCCTATAGCCGGCCCACCTTCTCCCTCAGACAGGGGGCTCCATGTGACTCAGGATGGCCCCACTCACCTCTCTCTGCAGCGTCTCCTTCTCAGCTCGGATGGCCTCCAGGGAGTCCTGCATGCGGACCAGCTCATCCTCTCGGGTACTTAGGGCCAGCCGGAGCCAGGCATTCCTCTCGGCCAGGCGAGCTGCCTCTTGCTGGCAGCTCCCTGCCCCTTCCTGCTTCCCAGGGGGTCCTGGTCCCCCTTCGCTTGTGCCCTCCATCAGCCCAGGATGGCTGGGGGGCTGGTGGCGCCAGGCAGCAGCCGCCGCCTCCAGAGAGCTCAGAGCGTGCTGGAGGGTCTGAAACACATCGGGCTCCCCAGTCCCAGGAGGCAGAGTCTCCTCGCACTGTAGGGCTGATTCTGGGGATTCGTGGGCTTCCACTGCAGGTTTGTGGGGCACCTCGGGGGCTGAGGCTGGTCCCCTGCCAGAGTCCCCATCAGTCTTCTTGTCAGTCCTGTAGACACCAACTCAAGCACTTGAGTCATTCCAAGCTGGGCTGGAAATTCTTTTTTTCTTTTTCTTTTTTTTTTGAGACAAAGTCTCACTCTGTCACCCAGGCTGGAGTGCAGTGGCGCGATCTTGGTTCACTGCAACCTCCGCCTCCTGGGTTCAGGCAATTCTCCTGCCTCAGCTTTCTGAGTAGCTGGGATTACAGGCGCCCACCACCATGCCCAACTAATTTTTATATTTGTAGTTGAGACAGGGTTTCACCATGTTGGTCAGGCTGGTCTTGAACACCTGATCTAGTGATCTGCCCACCATGGCCTCCCAAAGCGCTGCAATTTCAAGCATGAGCCACCATGACTGGCCACGAATAATAATAATAATAATTATTATTATTATTATTTTTGAGATGGAGTTTTGCTCTTGTTACCCAGGCAGTGGCGCAATCTTGGTTCACTGCAACCTCCGCCTCCTGGGTTCAGGCAATTCTCCTGCCTCAGCCTCCTGAGTAGCTGGGATTACAGGCACGCACCACCATGCCCAGCTAATTTTTTATATTTTTAGTAGAGACAGGGTTTCACCATGTTGACCAGGATTGTCTTTTTTTTTTTTTTTTTTTGAGACGGAGTTTCGCTGTTGTTACCCAGGCTGGAGTGCAATGGCACGATCTCGGCTCACCGAAACCTCCGCCTTCTGGGTTCAAGCAATGCTCCTGCCTCAGCCTCCCAAGTAGCTGGGACTACAGGGGCGCACCACCATGCCCAGCTGATTTTTGTATTTTTAGTAGAGACGGGGTTTCACCTTGTTGACCAGGATGGTCTCGATCTCTTGACCTCGTGATCTACCCGCCTCAGCCTCCCAAAGTGCTGGGATTATAGGCGTGAGCCACCATGCCCAGCCTGAATTATTTTTTTTTTAAGATGGAGTCTCACTCTGTTGCCCAGCCTGGAGTGCAGTGGCGCGATCTCAGCTCACTGCAACCTCCGCCTCTTGGGTTCAAGCGACTCTACTGCCTCAGCCTCCAGAGTAGCTGGGATTACGGGCACCCACGACCATGCCCGGCTAATTTTTGTATTTCTAGTAGAGACGGGGTTTCTCCACGTTGGCCAGGTCTCAAACTCCTGACCTCAGGTGATCCGCGTGACTTGGCCTCCCAAAGTGCTGGGATTACAGGCGTGAGCCACCGTGAGTGGCCCTGGGCAGGGAATTCTGGGGGCTTAGACTTCATGGTCTTGGGAAGGTGTGAGCGGGGCAGAGAGTTGGCAAGAGCTGTGTGTTCTGGGACTGGCATCCCAGGGTGAGACTGGGGGGCTGGGAATTCAGGGAAGAGGCTGGATAGAGGGGTGGAGGAACTGCGGGGGGAGACCTGGGCCTGAGACGGAGAGTGCAGAGTAAACTGGAGTGTGACAGGCACTGGGGAAGGCCTGGGGGTGAGAGACAGAAGGTTCTGGAAATGGGGTCTTTTGGGGCGGCAGCTCACACTTGTAATCCCGACACTTTTGGAGGCCCAAGTGAGCAGATCACTTGAGATCAGAAGTTCAAGGCCAGCCTGGCCAACACAGTGAGACCCTGTCTTTATTTAGCCTGCGTGGTGGCGCATGCCTGTAATCCCAGGTACTCGGGAAGCTGAACTCGGAAGGCAGAGGTTGCTGTGAGCGGAGATCGCACAACTGCACTGCAGCCTGGGCAACAGAGCATGACTCAAAAACACAGAAAGAGAGAAAGAGACAAAGAGAGAAAAAGAGAAAGAAAGAAAAAAGAAGGAAAGAAAGGAAGGAAGGAGGAAGAAAGAAGGAAAGAAATAAGACAAAGAAAGAAAGAAAAGAAAGAAAAAAGAAGGAAAGAAAGAGGAAGGAAAAAAGGAAGGAAGGAGAAAGAAATAAAAGAAAAAGAAATAAGCCGGGCGTGGTGGCTCCAAATACAAAAAATTAGCTGGGCATAGTGGCGCGTGCCTGTAATCCCAGCTACTCAGGAGGCTGAGGCAGGAGAATTGCCTGAACCCAGGAGGCGGAGGTTGCAGTGAGCCGAGATTGCACCATTGCACTCCAGCCTGGGTGACAAGAGCGAAACTCCGTCTCAAAAAAAAAAAAAAAAGAAGGAAAGAAAGTCAGTCAGGCTGAGGGCAGTAGGGAGCCATGACAAGTGAGTGAGCAGAGGAGGTGCACCAGACCTGTAGGGGCCAAAGATGCATCTGGACTGGACTGAAGGGCATAGACCAAGTGGGTCTTACCTGCTTTCTAGGCTTCGGCCACTGACCTCCTCAATGGGGCCCAGGTGCTCTGGCCCAGAGCTCCCCAGAGGTGGGGTAAGGCTAGGCTTGGAGCTCCCACCGGCTGCTTCACCCTCCTCTGAACTCTCAGCCACAGGGTCCAGTTCACCCTGCAAAGGACCCCCGGGGCCCAGCTCTGAGCGAGGCAGGACAGGACCTTGGCATCCCAAGGAGCTGGGTGTGGAGGGGAGAGGGGACACTTACGGGTGGAACATGCCTCCCTCGCCGGCTTCGGGGCCGCGTGGCCCGGGCACTCATTGCTGTCCAGAAGCCAGTGCCCTCTGAATGCTTCTCCTTCGTCGCCCCCTAAAACCACAACCTGCTGTGAGCTCTTGCCTTCGTCATCCAGGACAAAGGACAACCTCAATTTCCTCTGCAGTGAAATGGGGCATTGACTACCCCTCTAGAAGGGATTTTGGAATCAAGGTTGATTGGGCACATTTGAATGCCTCCCTGGACAGGCAGCTCACTACCTAACAAGGCTGTCCTGACCTCCCCCTTCTCTGCCTTCTTGACCCTCACTACCTCTTTGTCCCCTTCCCTCTTCTGTTTGTGCCTGAGAAGGAAACCTCAAGAATTCCCTCTTTTCCCCAGGCCCTCCTAAATGAGGGGTTCAGCTCTCTCTACCTCTCTGATCCTCTGGGGTTAACTTGATCAGAGGCCTGAGTCCCTGGATACTCTCTTGGGGTCACTTTGGCCACTGCCTGTTCAGGCCTGGGCTGGCCAAGCTTGGCCTAGGAGGGGCCAGGAAACAGGAAACTCCCTCCCCTGGTCACATGACTTGTTATTGTGTTGTTTCCTTTCTGAGGATAGTGGTTTCCTGCAGCCCTAGCGGGGCACGCACACCTGACTCCCAAGGTTTCAGCCCCCCTCATCTCAGCCTCCAAGCCCATGGCCCTTCCATCTCTCTCTTTTTTTTTTTTTTTTTTGAGACAGGGTCTCGCTTTATCTCCCAGGCTGAAGTACAGTGGTGTGATCTTGGCTCACTGCCACTTCTGCCTCCCAGGTTCAAGCCATTCTCCTGCCTCAGCCTCCCAAGTAAATGGAATTACAGGCACCCGCCACCACACACAGCTGATTTTGTATTTTTAATAGAGGGGGGGCGGTTCCTCTGTGTTGGTCAGGCTGGTCTCGAACTCCTGACCTCAGGTGATCTGCCAACCTCAGCCTCCCAAAGTGCTGGGATTACAGGTGTGAGCCACTGTGCCCGGCCCACCTCTGACTCTTGGATTTTATTTCTCAAGAGCTAGGGTGGGTCAAGCACCAAGGCTCACACCTGTAATCCCAGCACTCTGGAAAGCTGAGGCGGTCGATCACTCGAGCCCAAGTGTTTGAGATCAGCTTCAGCAACATGGCGAGACCCCTGTCTCTACAAAAATTACAAAAATTTGCCAGGAGTAGTGGCGTGCAGTAATAGCCTGTAGTTCCAGCTATTTGGGAGGCTGAGGCAGGAGGATGGCTTAACACCTGGAGGCGGAGGCTGCAGTGAGCCGTGGTCACGCCACTTCACTCCAGTCTGGGTAAAAAGGCTGGGCGCGGTGGCTCAAGCCTGTAATCCCAGCACTTTGGGAGGCCGAAGCGGGTGGATCACGAGGTCAAGAGATCGAGACCATCCTGGTCAACATGGTGAAACCCCGTCTCTACTAAAAATACAAAAAATTAGCTGGGCATGGTGGCGCGTGCCTGTAATCCCAGCTACTCAGGAGGCTGAGGCAGGAGAATTGCCTGAACCCAGGGGGCGGAGGTTGTGGTGAGCCGAGATGGCGCCATTGCACTCCAGCCTGGGTAACAAGAGCGAAACTTCGTCTCAAAAAAAAAAAAAAAGAAAAGAAAAGAAATAGTCTCCCAGCAAGGCAGTTTACGTCTACAGAAGGGTGTGGCTCACGGATGGAGCAATGGTGGCCGCACACTTGGACAAGGGGAGAAAGGGTGCCTGTGCCTGATGGGGGTCGCCCCTACTGCTGTGTCGTTCCGCTCTTGGCTAGGGTTAGACCGTGCAAGCTAACTAAATCCCGATTGGCTATTTTAAAGAGAGCAGGGGTCTGAGCTGGATGGCAGGGTGGGTGTTTTGGTGGGAAGGATGGTTACGGGTGCCAGGGGTGACCTAGGTCAAAGGAGGTGAACGGAGCAGGTGACCAGGATGAGTCAGGACGGAGCCAGGGGCGGGGAGGGGTGCGGGAAGCGGGAAGCAGATGTGAACTACTGATTAGAACGGTGCAGAAGATTGTTTACTGGAATTATAAGGAAGTAAAATTTAAAATAGGGAATTAAAGAATAAGAGCTGAACAAGCTGACATACTGCTGCTTTGGAGAGACACTTGGGGTTCACTATAACATCCTCTTCTCTGTCTGTCTCTTCTTCCTTGTGGGGTGACTGGTTTTTTTTTGTTTGTTTTTTGTTTTGAGACAGAATCTATTCCTCTCACCCAGGTTAGAGTGCAGTGGCCCCACCTTGGCTCACTGCAACCTCCGCCTCCCAGGTTCAAGTGATTCTCCTGCCTCAGCCTCCCGAGTAGCCAGGATTACAGGTGCCCGCCACTACGCCCAGCTAATTTTTGGTATTTTTAGTAGAGATGGAGTTTCACCATGTTGGCCAGGCTGGTCTCGAACTCCTGATCTCAAGTGATCTGCCGGCCTTGACCTCCCAAAGTGCTGGGATTACAGACCTGAGCCACGGCACCTGGGCTTGCGCTTGGCTTAAATTGTGCAGAGTCCGATTCTTCCTGCCTACATGTCTTCCCAGAAAAGAGGTGGCGAGGAGAGAAGTTACAATTTGCTGACTTGAGAGTCCCTAATGGGACTGAATTCTGCACTCTTAGCCACTGCTCCAGACACATTGACCTGTCATACGCCCCAAGACAACTCTAGGGCTCTTTGAAGGCTCTAGGTCTTTGTCCAGGCAGTTCCTTCTGCCTGGAATGCTGTTCCTCCTGTTGTTCTTCTGGCAAGTTCTTCATCTTTAAGGATCAGCTTAGTCCCTCCTGGTTATTCTCAAATTAGAGCCTGGCCAATGTGGCAGGCTTCTTTGACCCTTTAAAAAATAAACTGAGGGGCCGCGTATGGTGTCTCATGCTGTAATCCCGGCACTTTGGGAGGCCGAGGCGAGTGGATCAGGAGTTCCAGACCAGCCTGGACAAGATGGTGAAACCCCATCTCTACTAAAAATACAGAAATTAGCCGGGCATGGTGGTATGTGCCTATAGTCCCAGATACTCGGGAGGCTGAGGCAGAAGAATCGCTTGAACCTGGGAGGTGGAGGTTGCAGTGAGCCGAGATCATGCCACTGCACTCCAGCCTGGGAAACAGAGTGAGATTCTGTCTATAAACACATAAATTAATTAATTAATAATACTTCTGGGGCTGGCCTTGTGCAGTGGCTCATGCCTGTAATCCAATACTTTGAGAGGCTAAGGCACATGAATCACCCAAGGTCAGAAGTTCAAGACCAGCCTAACAGCATGGTAAGAACCCATCTCTAGCCAGGTGCAGTGACTCACGCCTGTAATCCCAGCACTTTGGGAGGCCGAGGCGGGCGGTTCACGAGGTCAGGAGTTTGAGAGCACCCTGACCAACGTGGTGAATCCTCGTCTCTACTAAAAAAACAAAAATTAGCTGGGCGTGGTAACACGTGCCTGTAATCCCAGCTACTCAGGAGGCTGAGACAGGAGTATTGCTTTAAACCGGGAGGTGGAGGTTGCAGAGAGCTGAGATCATGCCATTGCACTCCAGACTGGGCGACAGAGCGAGACTCTCTCTCAGAAAAAAAACAAAAACCCTCTCTACTAAAAATACAAAACAAAAAAAATTATCCAGGCATGGTGGCGTATGCCTGTATTCCCAGCTACTTGCGAGGCTGAGGCAGGAGAATCACGAGAGGGCACAGGTTGCATTGAGCAGAGATTGAGCTACTGCACTCCAGCCTGGGCCACAGAGCAAGACTCTGTCTCAAAAAAATAAAAATAAATAAATACTTCTGGGGATAAGGGGGAAGTGTGCATTAAGAAAGAAGACAACGGTAGCCTGGGCGACAGAGCGAGACTCAGTCTGAAAAAAAAAGAGGCCGGGTGCGGTGGCTCACCCCTGTAATCCCAGCACTTTGGGAGGCCGAGGCGGGTGCATCACGACGTCAAGAAATCGAGACCATCCTGCCAAGAGGGTGAAATTCGTCTCTACTAAAAATACAAAAATTAGTTGGGCGTGGTGAGGCGTGCCTGTAGTCCCAGCTACTGGGAAGGCTGAGGCAGGAGTATCGCTTGAACTCAGGAGGCGGAGGTTGCAGTGAGCCGAGATCATGCCGCTGCACTCCAGCCTGGTGAGAAAGTGAGACTCCGTCTGGAAAAAATAAAAAAAGAAAGAAACAAGGCTGGTTTAGCCTGATGCGGTGGTTATCGTTATCGCCTGCAGTCCGAGCTACGTGAGAGATCGCTTGAGTCCAGGAATTCCAGGCTGTAATCACTAGTCATCATCGCGTGACTGCACTCTAGTTTGGGCTACAGAGCGATCCCTGTCTCTAAAAATAAGAACGAAAAAAGGCATGAAAAAGGAGGCAGGCTAGAAACAGGCCCGACTTGGTTCCCCTCCACCTACAATGACCCAATAAGACCAGAGTGAATATTTTTTTGTCATGCAAATATATGTAAAATAAGGAGCAGGAATTAAGTAATTGAGAGGGACCCTGGAAGTTCAGGCCACGCCCACGTGGAAATACCTGCCCCCACACGGAAGCGCAGGCCAGCTCCACCAATCACCAATTAGCTCCTCCTCTCTACCTAAATCGGCCTTTTCCATCCCTCTGAGCCTATCACATTGCAACCTCCACCCCTATTCCACGTTTCAGCCTGTCACGGTAGAAGCACTGACCATTGCAGTCTGATTCAGCCAGAAACAAAAATTCACTATCTTTTTTTATCCAATCATATTTCATACTTTGCTCAAGTGTAGCCAGTCACATTCCAGGTCCCTCCCCACCCAGGTCCTCCTAGTCTATCGCACTCCAAACCCCACTCGTAGCGCAGTTTCCGCCTATCAGCTTCCAAGTCCTTCCTAGCCTAAACCAGTTTCTCTCTCCGCTTGCTCTGCGGCCCGCTGAACTACATTTCCCAGGAGGCGTCGGGGCTGCGACGCACAACTTCCGGCTGAAAAGATGGCGGCTTCCTAGAGAGTCGGCGGCTGATTTGGAGGGAGGTTCAGGCTACGGTGAGCCCGAGTTGGGTGGATAAAGCGTGCGGGCCCGGTTCGTAGGGACCCAGCTCCCTTCTTCCCAAGAGATCCAGCTCCTCGCCTTCCCGGGGCTTCTGCCTTTATTTCTGGTTTCTCCTGCAGTTTAGCCTCCATCCTTCTTGCTACCGCTAAAGCTTTGTTTTCCTTAGAGGTGTGGGGGCCGCAAGGCTCTCAGAGACCATCTTGAGAAGCCCGTGCCTATTGCCCAGATAGACAAACTGCTTAATTCGCGTCCTTCTCTCCAAGGAGAACCGCAACACTAATATTTTGCTTCTCCCTCATACAGACACCCGCTAGGCACGAGGATGTCCCAGAGATTATTATTCCTTTATTCACCAAGCCATTTTCAGTTTTAGGTAACAGAAAACCCTGCTTAATCTGGCTTAAGCAAGAAAGGGAAGTTAGTAGCTTATAGATTGGGTCTAATAGGAGCTGGGTCCAGGTGGTCAGAATTCGATCTGCAGTTTTCTAGGTGGGGATCGTTTCGCTTTTTATCTTAGAGGCAAAAAGAGGCCCCTCGCAGCTCCCAACTTTATTCTCCCAGCTCTGCAACTCTAA